GTTGTGTCCATCCAGCCGCTCTGGAGTGGGTTTGAGTCCTGTCGTTGCTATGGTTACTCTCCTGCACCCCAGGTGGCAGGTCCCTTGAGGGGGAGGGGTGAAGCTAACGCTGCCATGTGCTTCGTGGGAGGGCTTTTTCTCAGCGTCCGTCACCCCTCACCGCCTTCCAAAGGAGGTGGTCTCCCCGAACCCTGCCCGCCGGGCTCAGCGAGGCCAGCTGCCGGGCACTGCTCTCCCTGCTCCGCCACCTGAGAGCCTGCCCTCCCTCCGTGGCACGGTGTTCTCAGAGCTGCCCCTGCCAGGCCCTGCGTCCCGCCTGGGGTTGAATTCAGGTGGCCCAGCACCCCAGCGGGGAGGCTGCGGCCGTGCATGGCAAAGGGCCCGTGGCCTCCCTCCAGCTCCGGGGGGACATGGTCTTTTCCGTCTGCTCTTCTCCGCTGCCCCTTTGTGCTGGGAGGGACACTGCGGCCTCTCCCAGCGGCTAAGGTTTCATCTCCCACAAGTGACGGACCCCACGGCGCACATGCCGGTCCATGCCCGTCTGCCCAGGACGGGGTGCGCACGGCTCTCAGCCACGGCCGCCCGGCTTCCCCGAGTCCCTGGAGGGGCCATGGGCGAAGGACAGGCTCCCGGCCGGAGCTCCTGGGCGCTGGGGCTGGGCAAGCGGCGGAGACTTGGTGCTGGTCCTTCCCCGGAGCCTGACCGTCAGTCCCCTTTCTCCCTGTCCTGTCGGCCTGTCCGTCTCTCCGAAGGGGATGATGTCACCTGGCACCTCACCCTCAGCTCTTCGGTGAGTCCCAAAAGTGGCGATTTGGTAGTTTAGATTTTTCTCTTTTTTTAATTTTTTTATTGATTAAGATATTGCATATGTGTCCTTATTCCCCCGTTCCCCCCCACTCTCATGCCCTCCCCCCTGGTGTCCATGACCACTGGTTAGGCTTATATGCATGCATACAGTCCTCTGGTTGATCTCTCCCCCTTTACCCGCGCCCTCCCCTACACCCCGTCTGAGGTTTGAGCATCTGATTGATGCGTCTCTGTCTCTGGATCTGTTTTTGTTCATCAGTGTATGCTGTTCCTTATATTTTACAAATGAGTGAGATTACATGATGTTTCTCTTTCTCCTCCTGGCGTATTTCACTCAGCATAATGCTCCCAGGCCCATCCATGCTGCTGCTGGTGGGAATGCCGACTGGCGCAGCCACTGTGGGGAACAGTGTGGAGTTTCCTCAAAAAACTGAAAATGGAACCCCCATCTGACCCGGTGACCCCACTTGTAGGAATACATCCCAAGACACCAGAAACACCAATCAGAAAGGATATATGCACCCCTATGTCCGCAGCAGCACAATTCACCACAGCTAAGATTTAGATTTTTCTCATTGTTAGCATGGATGCGATTTTACATAATTTTACATAATTCTGTTCCCAAGTCGAAGTGGAAATTCTTTTATGGCTTTGTGGGTTTTTTTAAATATGTTTTTGTTGATTGTAGAGAGAAGGGGATGGGGGTGGGGGAGAAAAACATAGATGTGAGAGGTAAGTACCAATGAGCTGCCTCCCGCACGCCCTCTACTGGGGTTCAGCCTAGAACCTGGTCATGTGCCCGGACCCGAACTGACCCAGCAGCCACTGCGGCTGGCCTTTTGGGGCTTGCTGTGGCCGTACTTCAAGGACAGGCTTACGGTCACCGGGATCACTAGGATGGTTCACACTCGCCAAGGAGAAGGTCTCTCCGATGCGAGAATGAATGAAATGACCTCTCCATCCATCTCTATCTGTCATCCACTCAGCTAGTTCACACATTAGTTGAACATAGTGATCCACAGTCCCATAGCGGAACAGAACCAAGAGGCATTTACAAATGCATTACAGACCTAAATGTAACATAGGGCTATATTACAGACACTTCGTGGGAAAATACGCCCCTCCGACTAATTCTCACTCCTCACTTAGAGACTGCTGGTAGAGAGACGGTTCTGATTTTTCCACGTGGCAGTACTTGCTTAGGAATCACACTTTTCCTTACTAAAACCTTCTTTATTGAGTGAGACCACCGTCGGGATTGAGCAGATGCACATTTCTGTCTTATTAAGCTGGGAGTTTTGTCTAGGTGGGCGTGGACCATACATGTCCTGCCTAATGCATTATTATTTGCCTATAAAATACATATATATATATAAACTATTTTGCTATGGTACTTGACTCAGACTCTGATTTTTCAGAAATTAATTTCTCTAGAGCAGACTGTGGTATTGTGTATAGGTACAACAAGTTCAAAAGTCCGGCACAGACGCCCTCATACATGCAGTGTGTCCCTGTGCTGCCGCGTCCTGCCAGGGTCGAAACCTTCAGGAAGTGACTGTGTTCCTGGTGGTCAGGCACCTGGGGATTCCAGGTCCGGGGTTGGAGAGCAACCTTTCAAAGACCCGTCGCTTCACAGCACTTGCTGTCGCCTCTGTTATGACACAGAGTGTGCGTAACCTGTGTTCTGGAAGAACTAGATGCCTTCCTTGGAAACTGGGCCTACGCTGAGGCAATGTCCTCTTCTAGACTTTTCTACCCCAAAACTGTGCTCCACCCCCTGTGGGAAGTCTAAGGCGATGTTGCCACAAATGCTGTGTATCTCCGTGTCCTTGGCCTCTAATCTACACAGACTACACAGTGATGCCAGGATGGGACGGACGGGACAGGACGGGGGGAGCAGGATGGGACGGAAGGCAGCTCAGTCTGCATGTCCAACATCAAGGCCTGAGGGAGACCCCATGGGACTTCTCCGATTAAAATATGCTTTATTTGTTCTTTGCTTCTTCTGACATTTTATTATAATTCCTGCAGATACAGATATACATGCAAGTTCCTTTTATCACAGAATGATTTGGATTTACACATAAGTTTCAAGGAAGGGGAAAATGAAAATAAATTAATATTCAATAAATGCATTTAAATCAGCATGTCGTAAACAGAGTAAAGAAGTGAAAAACCATTGTTTGTGAAGTAAGGGGGGTTCAGTAACAGAAATTAATGTTGAATTAGTGTCACCGTTATTTTCTCTTGTTTTAAACATCTTTTTCTGTGCTTTCTGCGCATGTGGGTTATCCTCTGGCCTCAGTCTGGCCCGGGGTGACCTTGAGGCATCCCCAGGATGCTGCATTTTGACCATTAGCTAGCTCACCCCCGCCCCATACCGCAATCGGACTTATACGTATGTTTTATCAAAGCCAAATAAAAAATGAAGTGATGTACGGTAGTTGATTTTGCTAATTTGTGATAGAAGGGAAAAAGGCAAAATTAAATGTAGCTGTGATCTGTATTCTAACGTTAAAGACGGTGAGAAATTATATGTAAACCAGTGAAACAAGTTAGAGGCCTAAGTGGCTGTATTTTCTCATATTTAGCAATTTTACAGTCCATGAAAAGCCCCAAATGTGCTCGGAATAAAAAAATAAAAATAAAAAATGCCTTGCCCTCACTGGTTTGCCTCGGTGGATAGAGTATCGGCCTGTGGACTGAAGGTCTCAGGTTTGATTCCGGCCAAGGGCACATGCCTCGGTTGCGGGCTCAGTCCCCAGTTTGGGGCGTGTAGGAGGCAGCCAATCCATCATTCTCTCTCATCATGGATGTTTCTCTCTCTTTCCCTCTTCCTTCCTCTCTGACATCAGTAATTTTTTTAGTTGGCACCTAATGCCTCCGTGCTCCCTGCTCGTTAATGTGTCCGTGGAAGGGGAGTCAGTGTTGGCGTGGGAGAGGGCGTGCAGCTCTGCCCGCTCACATACAGAGCTGGGCTCTGGGGCCTGGATTCCCGGTTAGGCCCGGCCCTGCAGCCCTCCTGACTCGGGTCCCCGCACCCTCTCTGTCACAGTGGGAGTGAAGGCACCTCGCCAGGTTTGGGGAAACTGAGGCGCAGGCTGGGTCTCAGACTGGATGGCCAGGGACGGTGTCCTGTGCAGACTGGACCCAGCAGCTCCGCCAGGGTGTTCCCCAGGCTCCCCACGAGGCGCTGAGGGGCTGGGGAGTGGAGATCAGCCCCGCCTCCCCCACTGCAGGCGGGTCTGCAGGCTGGAGCTGGGCCCTGGCCGGCCGCTGGGCCTCCCTGTGCCCTTCCTCCATGTCAGAGGCCGGAGGGGGGCTCCGAGGCTCCGGGGTGGGGAGAACGCGGGGAGGGGAGCAGTGCCTGGGCCTCCCGGGGGATGAGCGTGTGGCTGCATCCCTGTCTGGTCTGGAGTCTGCAGCGCGGCCTGTCCAGCCGCAGGGCCCGCTGCCAGGGAAGACGTGCTGGGTGACGGAGAGCCCGCACTTTCCCGTCTCCGGGTCTCAGCCATTCCACTGCGTTCGTCTCTGACACCGCGTCGCCGCTGTCGTTTGATGGTAGGACGGGTTTCCACAGGTCAGTGTTAACGGCATCAGCACTGATTACCGGCCCTAGGCTGAGCTCCGCATTCTGTGGCACACCGACCCCGTTAGCGCCGCACCGGGAGGCATCGCACCGGGCACGCTCCTGGCTGAGCTTTGGGAGGAGACGCCATGGCCTCCTCACAGCCCATCCAGCCGCCGCCCCGTCTCCTCACCAGGAGGGCGGGACAGGGACGCTGGTTCTCACGTTAGTTTCCGGAAGCGCCGGGTTGTGGGTCCATGTTTAACACTTTTCACGCAGACCGCTGAGCGTGTTTGAAAACCAGTAAACCAGACGTGCATGGGGTCAGCCTTCTCTCAGGCCGTCCGGGCTGTGTGCGTGCGGCTGGAGCGTGTGGATGGATGCAGAGTAACACGCTATACGTAAAGGAATCGGGAATGAAGTCAGTCAGTGTTTGAAATGGAGCCCACCCCATTGAAACGGAACGAACGGGCACGCAGAGCGAGCGCACGGCTGGCTCAGGGCCTCCCCGTCCTCGGGGGCCGCGTTCCCTGCAGGGGTGGGGGGAGCCCGAGGTGGGTGGGGGGCCCGGACGCGGCCGACGGGAGAAGGGCGTTGTGTCCGACGCCCGAGTCTGTTTCCACAGCCGTGGGGCTCGCCGCCTGCCAGGAGCCACCCCTGCCCAGCAACGGGCTCAAGATCGGCGACCGGTACATGGTGAACGACGTGCTGGCCTTCCAGTGTGAGCCCGGGTACACGCTGCAGGTGGGTGTGCACGCTATGGGAGGGTACATGCTGCGGGGGAGTACACGCCGCAGATGGGGGCTATATGCTGCAGGTGGGTGTGCACGCCACGGGGGGGGGGTACACGCTTCAGACTGGTACACGCTGCAGATGGGGGCTATATGCTGCAGGTGGGTCTCAGGGGGCCCCCTCAGGGTCCTCACCTGCTCACTTAGGCTGCAGCCCCAGGTTCTCACCTGAAGGGCCAGGTAGGCGTCAGCCGGGAGGGGGGGTCCCCTCAGGCTCCTCCTGCTCACAAAGGCAGTAGCCCAGTTCCGCCTTTCCAATCCTTCTCCTTCAGTGGGAACGCCGTGTCCCTGGTCACAGCCTCGGAGCCTGAGCTGTGACTGTGAGGCGGGAATAAACGGACACAGCCCTGCGCCCCGAGAGGGCCCAGGGGGCCTCGCTGACGGGCGTGGCAGTGTGTGGAACGAGGAGAAATAGCCGGTTGTTCCATTTTGAGCCAGAATGTGGGATTCCTGAGTGACAGCGCTGTGGGTACACTTCCAACTTCTGGAAAGGTCATCGCCCAGGTCATGACCCCAGAAGGACGGCCGGCGGCCAGGACGGCGGTGCCAGCGCCGGCCTCCCGCCGGGCCCGCAGCTCACCGCCCTCTCTCCGCAGGGCCGCTCGCACATCGCCTGCATGCCCGGCCCCGTGCGCCGCTGGAACCACCCGCCGCCGCTCTGCCTCGGTAGGACGCCCGTCCGCGGCCTGTGGCCTGTCCGGACCCCGGGCGGCGCCCTGAGCTGCTCCCCTCCACCCTCCTGCTCCCCTCCCATAGGGCACGGGCCTGTCCCTTCCACACACACACCCTCCTCGGGTGGTGCCCTGAGCTGCTCCCCTCCACCCTCCTGCTCCCCTCCCATAGGGCACGGCCGGTCCTCTCCCCACCCCCGCTCACACCCTCCACCTTAGGATCTGACATGAGAGGGAAGATCAGGAATAAGAACCCGTCCTTTTTTAAATGTTTTTATGGATCTCAGAGAGGAAGGGAGAGGGAGAGAGGGAGAAACATGGATCGGCTGCCTCCTGCACACCTCCTACTGGGGATCAGGCCTGCAGCCCGGGCCTGTGCCCTGACCACGGATCGCACCGTGACCTCCTGGTTCACAGGTCACGCTCTACCCCTGAGCCACGCCCACGCCAGCGAACTGTCCTTCTTAGAAGTTCTATTACGGTTCTCCTTTTTTTTTTTTTTCTTGCATTAGTTTGGATTTTCCACATGGTTCTTAGCGCCGGCCCCTGGGGCTGGAGAACTGGTGGGGATGGGATGGGAAGATCTCTCGTGGCTGCCATGAGCTCGGCTGGGGTCAGGACGAGGACCTCACCCAGAGCTGACATTGAATACGAGCTCTGGAAGTCTGGGCTTTGGAGTCCTGAGGAGGACGACTCACGTGACCCTCTGGCTCCCCTGCAGCCACGTGCGGAGGGACGCTGAGCAGCCTGGCCGGCGTGATCCTGAGCCCCGGCTTCCCCGGCGCCTACCCCAGCAACCTGCACTGCAGCTGGAGGATCGCCCTGCCCGTGGGCCACGGTGAGTGAGCGGGGCTCCCCGCACCCACCTTCCCCTCCCGGCTGAGCAGCAGCGGCTGAACCAGAGCTGCCGGACTCTGAGGGCGTGAGGGCGCTGTGCCTGAAAGCGGGGACGGATTACAGGAAGCTGGACCAGTGGCACGGAGAGGGAGAGGGGCTGGGGACAGAGAAGGGGCTTTGGGGCTCTTCCCAGGCAGAGCCAGCCCGCGGGGCAGTGAGAGGTAGGCACAGGCGTGCAGGTGCCACACCCCCAGTCAATGCCAGCCTCTGCGTCACCTCCCCCCTCCCTTCCCCTCCCCTGTCCACCAGGCTCCGCAGCAGTCAGTGTGCGGATGTGCAGTTGGAACAGTGTGAAGGCTCTTTCAGGTGATGGCACGTCTTAGTTTGTTTTACAAATTAGTTTTTTTATTAAGGATATTTTTATTAACTTCAGAGAGAGGAAGGGAGAAGGAGAGAGAGAGAAACATCAATGATGAGAGAAACATTGATCGCTGCCTCCTGCACGCCACCTACCTGGGATCAAGCCAGCAACCGGGCCCGGGCCCTGAGCGGGAATCCTACCGTGACCTGGTTCACAGATCAACAATGCTCAACCACTGAGCCACCGGCTGGGCTAACATTTTTATATTGTCTTGATTTCTGTTTATAGAAATGGCTTTTCATAACATTCAGCTTTGAATGTTCAGGGTAGGCATCTATAATAATAGAAGCGGAATATGCTCATTAGACTGGACGTCCTTCCAGAGGACCTTCCAAACAAATCAGGGCTGCGAGGGAAGTCCGGGTCCTGGGTGCCAGAGGGAAGCTGGAGCGGGCAGTGTGTGTGTGTACGTGTGGGGGGGGGGGGGGCGGGCGGTGAGGGGAGGGGAAGGCGAAGGAAGGCCTATTCTTGCAGGAATTTCACGCACCGGGCCTTAGATACGTCCTGATTTTAGCTATTGGGTCACTGCAGCTCACCTTGGCCTTCTGCGGAAACATGTGGTTTTTGTGGATGTTGAATTTCCCATCATGCCTTTCCCTGCCGGCCTCGTGGTTGCCCTTGCATTCTAGCTCATCGCTGGGCTGTCCCTCCTGCGACTTTCAGAATAGCAGCGCCCGGGGACGGCGTGTCACAGACACTCGGGTCCAGGACGAGGCCTGAGGCTCGCGTCACAGGGAGTCCGTGCAGTTCTTCCCTCTCGCTGTTTCCCTGAGGTTTCCCCTTCCCTCTTCTCTGATCCTGGCCAGGAGGGCCGCGCTCCTGTCCGCACCCACTCGGGTGCTCTGCGTGTCGTCCTCCGCACTTGCCCGAGTCGGGCACCGTGTGCGCGTTATCTCCCCTTCTCCAGCCTCGGAAGCTAGCCGAGATGGAGAGAAAACGGAAGCTCTCCTTACCTCCCAAGAGCAGGAGGGTAACACAGGAAGCTTCCCGACCGGGCGGAGCAGCCTGGGCGAGCGGTGAGCGCCACGAGGCTGCAGGAGCCGCGTTACCCGTGTGGTTTGTATAGAAGCGTGTGCTTCCCGGCTGTCTCAGCTGTGACAGACCCAGCCTCTCAGACGCCGTCGTCCAGTGGATGTTCCCGATTCCACAGCCCCGCATTCTACCGCTGCCGGGCACACCACTTACCAGCTGCCCCTGATCTCGCGCCCAGATCCCCGTGACCTCAGTGCCCGGACTGCCTCCCGTCTTCCGGCCAGGCTGGCAGATTGGGTTGTGAGTGACAGGGACCAGTGGATGGTTTCTCTCGGGCACTGTGACTTGCTTTGCAGGCACAACCCAAGTGAAAAAGCGGTTCCTGACCCAGCAAACCTCTGGCTGGGCCTTGGCAGAGCCCCCTGGAAGCCTGGGTTTGGGGCCCTGGGTTGGGCTGTATTGATTCCGTCCTGGGTGGAGCTGGATGAGCTGGCAGTGAGTCCCACTGCGTGCCCGGCGTGAGCCTTGGAATGGCCGCTGGACAGAGCCCCCTCATGCCCAGAGCCAGTGGGCACTCTAAGGACGAGGCCCATGTGACCCCGTGGCACAGGCTGGCCGGGGCCTGTTTCAGAGAGTGACTCGGGGCTTGGATTGCCCAGAGAAAGGGCCCCAGCTTTGAGGGGCAGTGGGGATGGAACTGCCGTCTATTTTAATCCAAAACAAGCAAGTGCCTCCTCCACGGTGCCCGTGCCCCCGAGGGACGGCGTTCAGGGCGCGAACAGAGTGGCAGTGGCTCCGATGAACTTGGCCTGTAACCGCCGCTGATGGTGACGGTCACGTGTCCCCCGTGTCCCCACAGGTGCGCACATCCGCTTCCTCAACTTCTCCACGGAGGCCAACCACGACTTCCTGGAGGTCCAGAACGGGCCGCACCCCACCAGCCCGCTGCTCGGCCAGTTCAGCGGCCCCGACCTGCCGGCCCCGCTGCTCAGCACCACCCACGAGACCCTGGTCCGCTTCTCCAGCGACCACTCCCAGAGCCGGCCCGGCTTCCGGCTGGCCTACCGAGGTGAGCCCGCCGCCGTGGGCCCGAACCTGAGCCGCTGGACTCCTGGGGGCGGGGGGGGGGGGGGCTGGCCACTGGCGGGGTCACTGCTGTCCTTGTCCCATCAGGAAGGACACAGACCCCGAGGACACAGTCCACGCCATCCTCACTGCCCACCCGCTGCCCTCTCTCCCCGTGGCCACCGCCACCCTCCTCCAGGCCATGTGGCTTCTCGGTCACATGTCCGCCTCACCACGTGGAGGCCGGGTCCCCCCGGACAGCGGTGTGGGGCCCCCCTCCAGGCTGAAGGCAGGGCCCCTGTTCCAATTAAGCCGGAGGAAGTGCGGTGAGCGAGCTGTATTCTCTCCTGAATGATCAAAGCGTGCGATCGCCAAGAAAGGTTTGGATCGCCCATCCTAGCGTTTCGACGTGTGAAAAGTTCAACATTTTCATTCCCCAGCAAATCACTCAGCTGGCCTTTTCCTGACTATTAAGTCGGATGAAGTTGAAAATGTCAAAAGTAGAGCCTGTTTCTCTTAACGTGGCTACATCACTTGTGTTCTCAAAGGCAGAGCTACGCTATTCCATTGCTGCGGGAACTTTTAGACCATGTTCCTGAGTTGTTCCTGTAGATGGGAAGTGTAGCTTTCCAGACCGGGGCCTCTTCAAACAGGAGCCCAGATCGAAGGGGGAATTAAAGAGGGAGATAGGTGGCTGTGAGGACTGTGACGGACACCGGCCAGCACGTCTGTCTCACGTGTGCCCGTGTCTCTGCACTCCTCACCCCACCCCTCCTCAGTCCGACCCGTTCACCCCGGCAAACGTGACCGCTCAGAGCCGATCAGCGTGGCTTCCGAGTGCAGACCAGGGCATGAGGGTCCCGATATTCAATGAACCATCATGACGGTGCCTCCTAACATGTGGAGTGCTCCGTCATCAACACCTGTTGTCATGTATGTACACTTTCTTGAAGGGCAGCTCTCCGTTTACTAGGCTGGACCCAGAATGACCCAGAATCCAGGTTCCAGACTCAGAGGCAGGGATTGCAATAAGATGCAATTCTGTTTTTTTTTTTTTTTTAATGTATATATAATTAGTTTTTTACAGAGAGGAAGGGAGAAGGATAGAGAGCTAGAAACATTGATGAGAGAGAAACATTGACCAGCTGCCACCTGCACACCCCCTACCGGGGATGTGCCCACAACCAAGGTACAAGCCCTTGACCGGAATCAAACCTGGGACCCTTCAGCCCGCAGGGTGATACTCTATCCACTGAGCCAAATTGGTTTCGGCTGCAGTTCTGCTTTAAATGGTGTCATGTTTAGTGGGAAACACATATCCTTAAGGCAGCTCATCAATACAAAAGCAAAACCCAGTATGAGACTGCCTGTCACTGAGGAAATTGCAGGCATTTGAGGGAGACACCTCGGTGGCCTTGGGGGGTGGGGAGGTGGCGGAGGACACAGGCAAGTGCCCGCTGGGAGGTTGTGAGTGAGGAGGCTCAGGCCAGAGCTGAGCGAGGGCAGAGGGTAGAGAGCGGAGGGCAAGGGGCGGGAGGACATGTGGCTGTGCAGCCATGCTCATTCCTGTTAAGAGCCTGACCTCCCTTCTCGGGAGCCATGATGGTGAAGGCCGGGGGCAGGTCGGCGGTTCACGGTGTAACCCACACCTAGATCTCTCCCCCCCTGCAGCAGTGCCCCTGGAGGGTTTCAGGTAAAAGGATCAGGTCAGAATGGATAGCTGGGGGGGGGGGGAGTGAGCTAAGAACACGGGTGCCTGCCCTGGCCAATGTGGCTCAGTGGATAGAGCACCAGCCTACAGACTGAAGGGTCAGGGGTTTGATTCCGGCCAAGGGCACGTACCTGGATTACAGGCTCGACCCCGGGCCCTGGTTAGGATACATGTGGGAGGCAACCAATCATGTACCTCTCTCACATCGATGCCTCTCTCTGTGTCTCCCCCCTCTATTCTCCACATCAATGAGAAAATATCCTTGGTGAGGATTAACAACAAACAAAAAGGAAGAAAAAGAAATAAGAGAGACGGAAAAGCAAGTGCCCAGGAGGGTGTAGGTTCCCAGGTCTACACACCCTCCTGTCACTCTGCCACCTCCCCTCCCGCCCGTGTGCACAGCCTCTGTTCAGAGAATCCGTGAGCTGGTGCCCCCCCCCCTGGAAGTGTGATCTGTTGGGAGCTGGGCCTCTCCCTCACAGTCACCACTTTCACCGGCGTCTGCAGGGACCCGCGTGGTTAAAGGGCGTCCTCCTACCCTCCCGCCCATAAAGCACACAGTCCTGTATCGCCACCATCAGCTGCCCGGCCGCGGTCTGTCCAGCTGGCCCTGGAAAACTCCAGAAGTGCCCCAGGTTCCGGAGACCCCAGGCCTGTATCCACCTGTGACCTTCCTCTCCTCGGGGACATTGCAGAAGTCAAACAGAGATTGCCTCACAGTGATCGCTTTGTAAGGCATGTAAACACCCAATCCCACGTGGTCCACCTGAAACTGAAAATGAAACAGTGTCCGTTGTGATCAGAAACTAAACTTACCTTGTGATTGGAAAGTAAATTCACATTTTGAATTTAGCAAATTTAAGAATAGATACTCACATGTATTCTATTAATGAAATAGCAATAAAAATAGGATATGGGGGGGAGGGATCTCATGAGAGTATTGTTTGCCATGTGGTTTTGAAACTATATCTTATCTTACATGGTGACTGCTAACCTCCATAGAGTTAAAAAGAAATGTTTGCTTTACTTCTCTCAGAGCTTTCAAGCCAGGTTGCTAAGGCCATGTGCACACAGCCCCACAGTCACCGATTAGTTCCCTCAAAAACAGGCCTGAAAACCCCTCCTGGGTCCCTGTACCAATCACCAGACCAGACCTCACACCTCACTGCGATGGTGAGCACGGTGTCACGTGGCTAAATTGTCTGCATTTGGAATAGAAGCCACATAACCTGTGCAATGCCCACGGACCCACTCCTTTCCGCTCTGCCATGTCAGCATCTGGACTATTGACCCAGCTGCCACTCTGGGGACGGCCCCTGCGGTGTCACTGTGGAGGCCCCGCTCATGGTCGGAGACCATTGGCTCCCGACTGCCGTCCCTTCCTGCAGCCGTGGCCCCGGGTGCCTCCTGCTCGGCCTCCGGCTCCTGGGCCGGGAGCGCCACCGAGGCACACAGCTGGTTGGCTGAGCGAATGATTTATGTACTTGACCTCTGACTCTGCGCTTAAGGATCCACCTTTGAAAAATCCTAAACAACGTATTTTTATTATCAGTAATTAATTGGCCGAACTTGAGCAAGACCCAGATAAACAAAACAGAAAAGAAAGAGCGTGGATCAGAGGCGCTGTCCCTGCTCCCAGGGGGCGTGTCTGGCAGGGAAGGCAGCGAGGCGGTTCACCGTGTCACCAGGAGGACAGATTGTAGAGGGGCCGCCCCGGGCTCTGCATGTCACACCGCGTTCCCCCGGCCCACGCGCCGTTGGTAAGCGGAGCGCCCAGGGACTAGCTCAGAGGGAGGCGTGTGAATCCCGCAGACAGCCTGTCACTCTCGGCGTGTCTGTGGCACTCTTCCTCCCGCTGTCGTATATTGATGGCCCCTTGAAGGTCAAAGACGTCGCTGGCTGGAAGTGGCTGTCTCGGAGTTAAATGACTCCTTCCTCCCAAGACTGAGAAATGAAGCTCGAGAGCCACACTCCGTAAAACCGCGTGCCCGTGCCTCCTCTGACGCCAGACTGGAGAGCAGGTGACAGATGACATGTGGAGATCGGTGTCAGCTGATGAGACCAGTGTCAGAGAGCACCATGGCCCTCAGCCTGGGGGTTACACCTGTCATTTAGACACGGGGTCACATCAAGCACAGACCACCGGAACACGGATGCAGATACTGCGGGAGCTGACCGGGGGAGTGACAGGCTCCCCTGGCCCCAGAGAGGGAACCCGGGAGGGATGAAGCTCTGAAGCTGACTGACACACGTGGCATCGGAGTGCCTCACTGGTGCTTACACTTCTTCATACTGCTTTTGAAATTGAGAACGTTAGGGGATCGCTTTCTCTGTTTTGGTTTCTGTCATTTGACATTGGGAGAAACTGGATATTTATCTCCTCCTCCCTCCCTCCCTCTCCCCGTGTCTTCCTTTTTCTTTGTTGGGTCATAAAGCATCGGTATTCAGCGCGAAACACTTAGGGGGCGGGAAGGGCGCGGGCCTCAGGAGATGGGAGGGCTTCGGGTCAGAGCCCCGCTCTCCCGCTTTCCTCCTGCCGTCTGTCCGAAGTGCCTTTAGAAACAAAACACAGCCTGCCAGCTGCTCACAGATCAGAGCATCGGCCCATGGACTAAAGGGTTCAGGGTTCAATTCCCAGTCAAGAGCACATACCTCAGTTGGGGGTCCATCCTCACCCAGACAGGGCTCATGCATGCCGTAGGCGACCCATCAATGTTTCTCTCTCTCCTCCCTCCCTCCTACTCTCTGTAGAAATCAATGGAAATAATATCCTTGGGTGAGGATAAAAATTAAAAAAACATTGTCAAATGTATTTCGTGTATGGGTTATATTCTCTAATGCACACGGTAAGTATAAAAATGCAAATTGTTATAATTCTACTACTACTGGTAGCTATTGTTTTGCTTCACATCGCAACTTGGAAAATGTATTTTTTAAGAAAATATCTAAAAGTTCCTCTCCAGAAGCTAAACATAACCATTCTCCTTCTCTGCTTTCCAGACTAACACACGTGGTATTGATGAGCTGACTCTGTGTGTTAACTTGTGACTGACTCATCTGGTATTGATGAGCTGACTCTGTGTTAACCTGTGACTGACTCACATGGTATTGACGAGCTGACTCTGTGTTTAAGCCTGTGACTGACTCACATGGTATTGACGAGCTGACTCTGTGTTAACCTGTGACTGACTCACATGGTATTGATGAGCTGACTCTGTGTTTAGGCCTGTGACTGACTCACATGGTATTGACGAGCTGACTCTGTGTTTAGGCCTGTGACTAACTCACATGGTATTGACGAGCTGACTCTGTGTTAACCTGTGACTGACTCACATGGTATTGATGAGATGACTCTGTGTGTTTCAGCCTATGAGCTGCAGAACTGCCCGGACCCACCCCCCTTCCCCAACGGGTACCTGGTCGGCTCCGACTACAGCGTGGGCCAGTCCATCTCCTTCCAGTGTTACCCCGGGTACATCCTCATCGGCCAGCCGGTCCTCACCTGCCAGCACGGCACGGACAGAAGCTGGAGCCACCCTTTCCCCAGGTGTGACGGTAGGTCAGCCGTGTCTCCGGGAGCCACGGAGCTCATCCTGGGGAGAAGGCCCTTAAGCATTCCCGCAGCGCATGCGCGAATGCGATAATTTGTCCAAGACACGTTTACTGGGATCTATTATGCCAACTCACTCTACTTAGGATTCAGGGACACGGCTGGGGCCAGCAGGTTAAAAAAAGATGAATAAATCAGTCCTGCCCCCAAGGACATGAGGATGTCGTAATAAACACCAACGTCCGTTATGCCAGACCAGACACAAGCCCGCTGCGTGGATGGGTTTCAGACACGGAAGGTGGTGTCCGCTTGGGCAGGGAGGGGCCGTGTGAGGGTGAGAGCGGTACCTGGCTTCCTCCACCTGGTGGTGAGGTCAGAGGCGGGAGGGTGAGTGTCAATTCCATCCCAGAGGTTTTTTATGGCTTAACTTCCGTCATCATCATATATTGCTTCTCTGTTTCAGAAAACTGGTTTAACTGGGGAGTGGGACTTGAAGCACGCATACCGTTTGCGACTGGGAGGTAGGGACTGTCCAGGGAGAAGGAAGGATCTAAGCACAGGCTTAATGGAGGACCCTCTCAGGGAAAATAAAGCAGCGGAGGCCGCTGCTGGGGGTGAGAGGTCCTGCAGCAGCTGGAATCGGGCTGGTGGGCGTGGCAGGGGGCGTGGTGTCTCCCCTGGGACCCTCCTGCTGGCTGCTGGGTGCTGAGGGTAACTGGGGGCTGTTCGCAATGCCAGGTTAATGTAAACAGATCAAGGACTCTGTTTGTGAAGCATGCATATCAAACAGACAAGTCCCTGGAGCCCTGATATTCCCCATGGTATAAGTGCAGGAGCCCTGAATGAAAAAATAATGAAAACCTACCTCTGTGGACCTTTGAAATGTTAAACACTCGCCGTGTCCCACTGTGCGAAGGGAATGGGGACTGGCTGTGCTCGCATTGCTACTGAGGGAGGGAAAAGAAGAAACAGCATCAATGGGAGCTTTAAGCCCTAGTTTTCAACTGTATTTTTCCGTCCTAAACCGTTATAAAGCAACTACAGCCAACTTTGGCTGTCTTTTATTTTACATATTTATTTTTTAAGATGTTTTTATTGATTTCAGAGAGGAAGGGAGAGGAAGAGAGATAGAAACATCAGTGATGAGAGAGGAACAGCCATCTGCTGCTTCCTGCACGCCCCCTGCTGGGCATGGAGCCCATAACCAGGCAGGTGCCCTGACTGGGAATCAAACCCTGGGCTCCTGGTGCCTGGACAAAGCTCTACCTCCTGAGCCACACCAACCAGACTCTCGCTGTATTTTAATAATTATCTTAGCCTAACACAGATCTGATCATTCAAGATTACTTAATAGTGTAACGCATGTTTAAAATAGCATATTAAAGTTATTTTTAAAACTATGAATAACAGTCACATACCTGGTGTTTCATTAAATCACTTAAAAGACCTTTCATCCTATCCCCCATTATATTTAGATGCATAAATTACTGTGAATTGTCAGGATTAAACCCTTTTTTTAATTTGTAATGTTTGCCAGAATCTTTTCGTATGTAAATGGAGGGATTCTTGGCTTGCTATAAGAAATAGTATTAAGTATTTAATTATATTTCATTCCGTTTTCAAGCCCAGTTTCCCACGTGGCAGAAACTGCCGGCTCGGAGTTACCTGGTGGGTTTGAGGTGACTCCACGCACCTTCTCCGTGGCCTGAGGGTGGCGCCGTCTTTGCAGCTGTGTCAGGGCATGCAGCGCCCCAGCACCAGCCAAACTGCTGAGCTGCATGCGGTCCTCTTGCAGGCAGCTCGCCCGCCACCGAGGGGAGTTTGGGGAGTGCCCAGAGCCGCCCTGAGGCTGGACAACACCCTGGGACTCAGGACCCCTGAGCTATTGGGCTCGGGGTGGGCGGGGGTGGGGTGTACAACCGGGAAAGGCCAGTGAAGTCACCACGGGAAAGGGGGGCAGGCAGGGAGAGGGGGGGAGAGCAGTCCAGGGACGACGTGCACAGGCTATGACCAACCTGGGGCTCCCTGGACCTTCTTGACCCGGGATTTTGTGGTCGCTGGGACATTGGAGGGGCCCAAAGACCATCCGGTGGGGATACCAGTTTCCGACCAGCTGATACCAGAGGGAGGTCCCTCCCAGGCTGTCCTCTGCCTGTGGGTGTGGCCAGCCCCCAGGTGAACCGACAGTCCGTCAGGGGAGCCACATGTGACCTTCCAAAACCCACGGCGAGAGACAGATGACTTAATGCAGTGGTGGGCAAACTGCGGCTCCAGAGCCACATTCGGCTCTTTGGCGCCTTGAGTGTGGCTCTTCCACAAATCACCACGGCCTGGGCGAGTCTATTTTGAAGAAGTGGCGTTAGGAGTTTAAGTTTAAAAAATGTGGCTCTCCGAAGAAACGTCCATCGTTGTGCTGTTGGTATTTGGCTCTGTGGACCTCTCTCCTTGCCTAGACAGTCCTAAACAGAATAAGAAGTACAATATGAGGTTCATGTAAAATTCTGTCCTAAATAAATTTTCTAAGCGCCATCCAGTGTGTATTTAACATCCTCCATATAAATGAAATTCAGAATCTCAGCAGAGGGTATTGTTTTCAAACAAGTTTCCTGGAAGGTGTGTTTCCAAAAAGTTCTAGAATAAAAAGGTGCTTTGCCTGAGAAGGGAGGTCTACGCGGGGATCGGCAGGGCCATGGACACAGGTCCCCACACAGGACAGGGGCCAGCTGCTCGCCCTGCACCCTCTGGGGCACGGCCTTACCACCCGAGGGTTCGGGCCCTCAGGCTGCGGTGGGACGGGGCAGCGGTCCCGAGGGGCCACCCCCAGCCCAGCCCGTGGCCTCAGGAGGGTCTTAGGGGGAAAATAGAAGCTCTGACCCGCTTCTGGTGTCTTTATGAAAAACGGCAATTCAGACCATTAAGATTCAAGAATTCTAAATCTTAAAGCATCAACCTGCACAGAATAGATTAAATTCCAGTCCGAATGGACATGCTTGAGAGAGTAATATGTTCATTTGCATGAGGATCTATTGTGCACTGTTAGTATATTTCAAACTCATCTGGGGAAAAATGGACCAAAAGCGCGATAACCTTGAAATAAATCAGAGAGTGTGTCTGAGAGGGACGAGAACGCCGGGACTGTGCTCGTTTTGCCGGTAACTTATAATTAGACTGCCGTGTCCGTTCTTAAGAAACGTGGGTTATGGTTGTTAAAGTGGTGTTTAAAAGACTGTGGTTAATTAAGGCGCTAAATGTAATTTGATAATTAAGTATGCATCTACGCTTACAAATTGTAGCTCAAAATGTTAAAGTGTTTTGTTGGCCTAGTTATTCCTTTTCCACTGAAATACTCATGTCAGTGTTCTTCTGCGGTCTTTTCACAAACGTGAGCGCTGCCATCTGACCCCTCACTTCACAGGCATTAGTGTGTCTGGCGGGAGCCGCGGGATGACCAGGAGAGCACGTGGCAGCACGTGTGTGCGCAGCCACTTTTAAAGTGACAGGCTGTCGGCAGAAAACCCTTGATTGCAGTTGGCATGTGAAGTCCAACCAGCCAGAAGTGTATGCTGGCCCCGGTGGTGTGGCTCAGGGGTGAGCCTTGTCCAGGCACCAGGGGCTGCTGGTCCGATGGTCCCGGGTCAGGGGTCAGGGGTCAGGGGTCAGGGTACATGCCCTGGTTTCAGGCTTCATCCCCAGCCAGGGGCGTGCAGGAGGCAGCTGCTCTCTGTGTCTCATTCTCCTCCGTGTTTCTCTCTCTCGAAAATCCTTATCTAATAAAAGGGTGACATGCAAGTTAACTGTCACTCCATCACAAAGATGGTGGCACCCATAGCCGCAAGGTGGCAGCGCCCGGTGCTCTCAGCCTCGCAGGAGTCCCCTAGTCCCCGGGCGGGCGGCCGCTGAGAGGGGGCTGCGTGTGCTGCCTGGAGGAGTGCCTGCTTGGGCGACGAAACACGCGTTCCATTGGCCATGGAGGCCTCTGGGCAGCGGGCACCGAGCGGCGGGGGCGTGGAGGGGGACGAGCCAAGCATTCTGCTCGTAAGCTGGGTGGGCCTCTGGGCCCCGGAGGCCTCTGGGCAGCGGGCACCGAGCGGCCAGGCCCGCAGAGGGCTACCGGCGCACGGATCCATGCGCAGGGCTAGTCTCGGAGTAAGGTATACGTGGTGAGGGGCACATTTTTAAAGTTAAGGCTCACGCGTGGATTGATAAAGAAGGGAACCCCTGCCGGAGGGTCTGGGGCTGTGACGTCTCCTGAGTTTAGGAGGAGGAGGCTGGCCCTCCTGGAGCCCCGAGGGAGGCCGTCAGCTCTCCTGGGAGACAGACGAGGCTCTGCCCCGCCCAGGCCTCCCCTTTAAGGCCAGGATGGTGTGGCCGAGGAGCCGGGCAGCTTGGTGCCCGTGTTCCCCGACAGGCGGCGGAGAAGCACAGTCCCAGAGGCTGCGGGGTTCAGGGGGGACATTCTGATGACGCGGTCCCGGGGACGGTCCCTAACCATCCTTCTCGGGACCCTGTCGGCTGAGGCGCCAGGAGCTCCCTGCGCCCCTTTAACGCCGGTGTTTGTCTCTGTGGCCTCTGCTCCCTCAGCTCCCTGCGGCTACAACATCTCGGCCCCCAACGGCACCATCTACTCGCCCGGCTTCCCCGACGAGTACCCGGTGCTGCAGGACTGCCTGTGGCTGCTCACCGCGCCGCCCGGCCATGGCGTCCACATCAACTTCACGCTGCTGCAGACCGAGGCCGTCAGCGACTACATCGCCCTGTGGTGCGGCCCGCGTGCCCCCGAGGCCCCTGAGCCCCTGGCAGCCTGAGCCCCCGGCAGCCCTGTGCCCCCCGAGGCCCCTGTGCCCCTGGCAGCCTGTGCCCCTGGCAGCCTGAGCCCCCGGCAGCCCTGTGCCCCCGGCAGCCCTGTGCCCCTGGCAGCCTGTGCCTCTGGCAGCCTGTGCCCCTGGCACCCTGAGCCCCTGGCAGCCTGTGCCCCTGGCAGCCTGAGCCCCTGGCAGCCTGTGCCCCTGGCACCCTGTGCCCCTGGCAGCCCTGTGTCCCTGGCAGCCCTGTGCCCCCCGAGGCCCCTGTGCCCCTGGCACCCTGTGCCCTTGGCAGCCCTGTGCCCCCCGAGGCCCCTGTGCCCCTGGCAGCCTGAGCCCCTGGCACCCTGTGCCCCTGGCACCCTGTGCCCCTGGCAGCCCTGTGCCCCCCGAGGCCCCTGTGCCCCTGGCAGCCTGTGCCCCTGGCAGCCCTGTGCCCCCCGAGGCCCCTGTGCCCCTGGCAGCCTGTGCCCCTGGCAGCCCTGTGCCCCTGGCACCCTGTGCCCCTGGCAGCCCTGTGCCCCCTGAGGCCCCTGTGCCCCTGGCACCCTGTGCCCCTGGCAGCCCTGTGCCCCTGGCACCCCTGTGCCCCCCAGACACCCCTGTGCCCCTGACACCCCTGTCACCCCCAGACACCCCTGTGCCCTCCCAGACACCCCTGTGCCCCCAGACACCCCTGTGTCCCCAGACACCCCTGTGTCCCCCAGACACCCATCACCCCCAGACACCCGTCACCCCCAGACACCCCTGTGCCCCCAGACACCCCTGTGCCCTCTGACACCCCTGTGCCCCCAGACACCCCTGTCACCCCCAGACACCCCTGTCACCCCCAGACACCCCGGTGACATCCCAGACACCCCTGTCACCCCCAGACACCCCGGTGACATCCCAGACACCCCTGTCACCCCCAGACACCCCTGTGCCCTCCCTGACACCCCGGTGCCCTCCCAGACACCCCTGTGGCCCCTCCCATGTCCTGAGACAGGAGACCCAAGCTGAGGGAGGGAGTGAGGGCATGGCTGTCCCTCAGTGAGGGTGGACACGCAGAGAAGGCCCGCAGTGGCCTGCCTGAGCTCGCCGTGCGGTGCCTGTGCCCAGCATCGCCCCGACACAGGCGTATCCCAGGCCGTTGTTTTACCGCCTGAGTGCGGGTTTTCTGTAAGAAAAGCTGGTAAGCTCCTCGTCATGAGGAAGGGATGCTTCCAGAACCAGAGTTTCCCACAGCTGGGGTATTTTATCCCGCGGTCTGTTCAGGGGCAGATCTCCACCCCCAGGCAGCGGGACCGTGGGTTAGAGAGGACAGTGTGGCTTGGGGAGGGGCTGACACATGGCATGGCGGGCCCGGAGTCCATGGCCGCATCTCCCACACTCAGGAGGGCCCGCTGGGTGCAGGGGGTCAGCGGGCGTCCCCAGTGTGTCCAGCAGAGCCCATCGGGCAGGGGGCAGGGCTGTCCCAGCAGAGCCCACTGGACAGCAGAGCCCACTGGACAGGGGGTAGGGCCGTCCCAGCAGAGCCCACCGGGCAGGGGCAGGGACGTCCCAGCACAGCCCACCTGGCGAGGGGCAGGGATGGCCCTGGGAGCCCTGGGCCCCCACCAGCACGCCCTCCCCACAGGGACGGCCCGGACCAGAGCGCGGCCCAGCTGGGCGTGTTCAGCGGGAACACGGCCCTGGAGACGGCGCGCAGCTCCACCCGCCACGTGCTGCTGGGCTTCCACAGCGACTTCTCCACCGGCGGCTTCTTCGTGCTCAACTTCCACGGTGAGGACCCCCCGCCTCCGCCCACCCCGCCCCCGGCCAGGCAGAGGCCACCTCCGCTTCCCTGCCTCCCAGCCACACCCGCTGCCCAGCGGGAGCCCCAGAGCCTTTTCAAAAATGTATTTCACTGGCTTCTGGGAGGAAGTGGGGGGGGGGGGGCAGAGGGAGAAGCATCCATGAGGGGAGAGACCCACGGGGATCCAACCTGCGACCCTGCCTGTGCCCTGCTCGGGAATGGAACTGTGACCCATGGAGCCACACACTTTTCTGTTTATTATTTCCATCGTTCTGAGCTGTGTTTGGCCACCAGCTGGGACTCATCCCAGGAGAAGTGTGTTGGGCATCACACTGGTGTGGATGGCACGGACGTGACACTGTGTGGATGCCACGGACATGTGGCGATCTCGCAGAGGCCGGCATCGCTCCGTGCGGTCAGATATGGCGAGAGCCAGCCTGAGGGCGGGAGAGTGGCCGCCGAGGGGCCCGGGAAAGCACGTGGGGCCCTCGCCTCTCGTGAGGATGAGGATGGCTACCGGGGACGTCGAGGGGACGAGGGGCAGTGACCTTACCACCTGGTCATGGACCTGGGACCAGGCCACGGACGGAGCATTTCCCTTAGGAGTCCCCCGTGTGTGTGCAGGAAGCGTGTTTACATCGTAGCTTCTCTGGCTGTGGATGCTCCCAGCACCGACTCACCTGTGAGCAGTGGGAGCTGCGGGCTTTATCAATCCACGTCACAGGCACCTCGGGGCCTCGGAGCCGGCAGCTGGGAGCCGGACAGCAGCGACCGTGTTTACGCAGCATGTGTGACCACAGCTGTTCTCTCTCCACCTCAGCGTTCCAGCTCAGGAAGTGCCCGCCGCCCCCCGCCGTCCCCCAGGCGGAGCTGCTGCGTGAGGATGAGGACTTCGAGATCGGTGAGGGCGCACCCCGAGGCCAGCGGAGTCACAGGCTCTCCCCCCCCACCCCCGGAGTCACTCCCCAGGGCGGGGGTTTGTCAGAACGCCCACACGCCCGGTCACACCCAACACACGTCTCCCTTTCGTCATCTCCGTGACTTCTGGGTTCTGCCACGGGAGGTTCACTTTTGTCACTGGGAGCCCATTTCTCCAGGCACTTACTCTCCGTGTTTTCCTCTGTTTTAATATATATTTATGGGTGTCGGAGAGGAAGGGAGAGGGAGCGCGAGATAGAAACATCAATGATGAGAGAGCATTACCCATCGGCTGCCTCTTACACACCTCACACTGGGGATGGAGCCCACCACCGGGCCTGTGCCCTGACCAGGAATCCACCCGTGACCTCCTGGTTCCTAGGTCGATGCTCAGCCCCAGAGCCACGCTGGCCGGGCCACGTTTTTCTCTTGAGCAGCGTTTTCCGAGGCAGACACACAGACATGTGGTTCCATTGTGGAGGTGGGATCCTAACATGGAACCTCGTCCCAGGGGCTAAAACTGTGGCCGGTGTGATGGCCCCCGCCCCCGCTGGGACTACTGGTGAGCGGGGTGCGTGGGCGTGGACAGCCTGCCTGTGGTTCTGGGACAGCGCTTCCTTGCCGTCAGCACTCTCCCGTTAGGACTCCAGCCCGGGACCAGGGCTCCTTGGTGGCAAGGACAGGCGCTCTGTCCTGTCTGTGGTGATGCCGTGTCTCAGAGCCGGGTCCAACCACAGACCTCCGTCCTCCTCCTCAGATGACAGAGTTGAGGGTGCCGGGTGCCAATCAGGTCAGGTCCTGCTGTGGCCTCCGGAAGCCTGGAACCCAGCGCCCAGTTCCTGTGCCTTCCCGCGGCCCTGGGTGACGGGGAAGGACCAGACAGGTGGTCAGGAGTGGGTGCCGCCCGTGACTTCCATCCTGACGCTGGTTGAGTGTCAGGCCGTGTTTAGGAATGAGGCCCTGAGCGGGGAATGTTTTTTCAGACGGTCTAGAATGAGGCTGGGCCTGGCTGGTTTGGGGTAGACCAGTGGTCGGCAAACTCATTAGTCAGCAGAGCCAAACATCAACAGCACAGCGAATGAAATTTCTTTGGAGAGCCAAATTTTTTAAACTTAAACTTCTTCTAATGCCACTTCTTCAAAATAGACTCGCCCAGACTGTGGTATTTTGTGGAAGAGCCACACTCAAGGGGCCAAAGAGTCGCAGTTTGCCAACCATAGGGATAGAGCATCGGCCTGCGGACTAAAGGGTCCCAGGTTCGATCCCCAGTCAAGAGCACATGCATGTGTTGTGGGCTCCATCCCCAGTGTGGGGCTTGCAGGAGGCAGCCGATCCGTGATTCTCTCTCATCATGGATGTTCCTCTCCTGCTTCCTCTCTGAGGTCATAAAAATATATGTAAAAATAGAAATAAGCGGAAAGGAGGGCGGGCTTTGGTTGGGAGGGACGCAGCTGCCTGCTGAGGCTGCTGGCGAGGTCAGCACCTGCTTAAGGGCCGAGCTCTGAGGGTCATGGATGCCAGTTTCTAAATGTCGTGTGGCCTCTTGCAGGGGACTCGGTGCGCTACGTCTGCCACCCCGGCTACACGCTGTCCGGCTCCGACACGCTCACCTGCAAGCTCGGCGCCCAGCTGCAGTTCCAGGGGGCGCCGCCCACGTGCGAAGGTACGTGAGCCAGGCCACCGTGTGCGCGTCCCCCGTGGAACGTCACACGCTCTGCGTGGTGGGGGTCTGACCTTACCCTCCCTCTGGGCCCTGCAGCCACCGTCCCCTGCACACAGAAACCGCAGGCCTCTCTGACGCTGGCCCAGAAGCCACACCAGCCGGGAGGTCTTGCTGGGCCCCCGGCAGAGTATCGGGATTTTCAAACATACGGCAGCCAGTGCCGCCGTCCGCGTTCACCGGGAACCCGGGGGGTCCCCGGTCCATTTTCCTTCCATCCATCTCCCTCTCGCTGGGAATTCTGACCATTTCAAGGCTGAGGGAAGGCATCTCTCTTTGTCCTCACGTACGCCCGCCGGGTGCAGTGTCCACAGTTCGCCGCTGCGCTGTTTGTTCCTGTGACACGCGGGCCCTCAGCCGTGTCCGTGCACGCACACACCTCCCTGCGGCGTGTCTTTAGAGCGCAGGGCCAGGCACAGGGACAGAGAGTTCGCACAGAGCCGAGCGAGGGGGGCTGAGTCTGTGGGCTCAGCGGGTTTGAACACAATCACATCACTCTCAAAGGCCTTTTAAAAGACACCGCTCCCAAGTGTTGCAGGAAGCAATGGGACCCGAGGCGATATAAATAAGCGAAACAATATGTAAATAAGACAATATGAATAGGTCAGCGCTGTCCCCTGCCGGGGCCCCGCCTTCCCAGGGTCAGAGGGCAGTGGGCTCGCCTTTCCCTCGCCGGCCCCGCACACACAGGGAGGACCTGGCCCGCTGAGCGTCCGTCCGTCCCTCCCCAGCACAGTGCCCGGCCAACGAGGTCCGCACCGAGTCCTCGGGGGTCATCCTCAGCCCCGGTTACCCCGGCAACTACTTCAACTCGCAGACCTGCTCCTGGACCCTCCGCGTGGAGCCCCGCTACAACATCACCCTCTTCGTGGACAGCTTCCAGAGCGAGAAGCAGTTCGACGTGCTGGAGGTGTTCGACGGTACGTCTCGCGGCGTGCGCGCCCCGTGGCCCCTGCCTGGTGGCCAGCAACACCCTCCTGAGGTTTCTGTCCCCCAGGAACATGGAGACATCCTCCAGTCACCCTGTGTGTCCCCGACAGGAGGTGAGCCCTCTCGCCTGTGCCATCACAGTCCGGGCCCACAGGCCGCGAACACTGGGTCAGGCGGCGCCTGTTAGCCAATCAGCAAGCGCGGAGGCACTGACTGCTGACGATGCTTCCCTCGTTCTTCCCGCGGGGGTTCGGGGCAGGGGCCCTCACACCGCTCCTCCTTTCTCCCTAAGACTAGACTCATTCAAAGACATCTTAGGAAGCCTAAGATTTAGGAAATGGAGGTACTCGATTCGATGGAAATGACTATTTTACTAGAAATATATAAAGACAATGGCTCACAGCGATGCCCAGATGGTAAATGCTGCAAGAGTCTTTAGTGAGCATTTTTATAAATTAGTTTCATATGTTGCTATGTAATTCTAAGAAACTTCTTAAAAATCCCCACCTGAGGATATGCATTTCATTGAATCAAGAGGTTGAGGAAGGGAGAAGGCGAGAGAGAGAGAGAGAGAGAGAGAGAGAGAGAGAGAGAGAGAGAGAGAGAGGAACGTCACTCGGTTGCCTCCCATGCACACCCAGACCCGGATCAAGCCCGCAGCCTGGGCATGTGCCTTGACAGGGACTGCACTGGGGCCCTTCGGTGTATGGGCTGGTCTTAACCATTGAGCCGCCCCGGCCAGGGCTCTACTAGACTTTTTAACAGAACGATGCCATACTTGAAAGTGTGGTTGAGTTGTCAGTTGGAACTGAAACTGATGTTGGTAATTTTATCACACCCCAGGAGATTAGACCAGCGTGCAATTACGGCTGCACATAATAATAGGGTTTTCACATGTTTTGAAACATTTGTTATTGTGTTCTGGTAAATAATCAATTTAGTGAACATAAATTTACTGTAATTGATTCCAATTCATTCTATGGGCGTTTGTATGCTTTTACAAACGTGGATAGTAATAACCGAATTGCTCACATGGATAGACTCTACATGAGCTGACGTGTGTATTGCCAAGGTGCAGTGCTACGTTGGAAATTAAGCTGACACGTACAGACATAGGAACAGAGTATTCTCATTTTCAGAGGTGTTTTCTGAAGCGTGCCATCATCCCCACTTACCCACCTTTTCAATTTCCCACTGACAACTGCGGTCCCAAAATAGTAAGTGGAAAATTCTAGAAACAGTTGGGAAGCTTTAAGTTGCGCTCTATTCTGCGTGGCGTGATGGAATCTCAGGGTCCTCCTCGGTCCCCGGGACGTGAGCCCCCTCTGCCCAGCGTCTCCCCGCGGACAGCCTCCCTGCCGGCGACCTCGGGTCCAAGGACCTGGGGCTGCGTCCGGTGGCCCTTCCTTTACGTAATGATGGTCCCGAAGCACAAGACAGAGCTGCGGTTCCGGGTGCCAGCGAGGAGCCCACGTCCTTCCTGCAAGTGGGGAGGGGGGAGGGACAGGGAAAAGCATAGAAACACGGGGCTCGGCACTGTCCGTGGTCTCGGGCCCACGGGCTGTGTACCGTGTACCCCAGTGACTGCTGCTTTAAAGACAGGGTGCATCTGATCGAAGGAGAGGGTGCTGATCGCACACACCCCTGAAATCGCTCCGGGGGGCTGTGCCTTCGTACCAGGGCGGGCACCTGCCGCTGCTCTCACCAGGAATTCTTCCCTCCACCTGGGGAAGGCCAGCTCCCTGTGGAACATGCGGAGCCCAGTGGGACACGGTCAAAGCAGGTGCCGTGTCTGCAGGCACCGTGTCTGCAGGCACCGTGTCTGCATCTGTGTGTGTCTCACAGGCTCCTCCGGGCAGAGCCCGCTGCTCGTGGTGCTGAGCGGGAACCACACGGAGCAGGCACGCTTCACCAGCCGGGGCAGCCAGCTATTCCTCCGCTGGTCCACGGACCACGCCACCAGCAAGAAGGGCTTCAAGATCCGCTACTCAGGTGAGGAGAGCCGGCGACGGCAGGTGACCGAGTGATGGTATTTCCATCCAATTAGACAGCCCGGCCTGAGAGGCTCAGGGGCTGAGCGTCCACCTAGGAACCAGGAGGTCACACTACAATTCCCGGCCAGGGCACAGGCCCGGGTTGCAGGGCCCATCCCCAGCAGGGGGCGAGCAGGAGGCAGCAGGTCCATGATTCTCTCTCATCATTGATGTTTCTCTGTCTCTCTCCCTCTCTCTCCCTCTCCCTTCCTCTCTAAAATCCATAACTGTATTAAAAGGAAAAAATCAGGTAGATAGAAGCCTCGTTTTTGAAGATGAAGATTGAACGTCAGTAGAGATAATGTGACGAAAATGCCCTGCATGCTGTCTAAATGGAGGCAGGGGAAATAAACTACCTGGGGTCAATCATCCAAAGCTAAGGTGCTCACATCATCATCCACTGCAGGCCATGTCACGGAAAGCAAAGACATCTCCCAAAAGATAAAATCCCGTTAATTAACCTTAAACTCTGTGTAGGTGCTGAGGGGACAAACAGGAAGATACGATCTTATGCTGTTAATTTTGTAAGTGGCCCCCTGGCAAGAGCAGGTGTGGCTCTTCCAGAGACCGCCAGCCGGCCTCCGTGGGGGCGGCCCCACCTGTGGCCCCGGCAGTGAGGGCGCTTCCTGCTCCTGCGTCCTCCGGGCACGGGCGTGGGGTGCATTTCAGAGCCCGTTACACACTGTGCCTGGTCTCTTGTTAGTCACACAGCAGAGCTGTTCCCGGCATCAGCAAAGCGGGCGGATGGCGGGTCCCTTACGATTGTCTGTCTGTCTGTCTGTGTGTGCGTCTGTCCGCCTGTAGCCCCTTACTGCAGCCTGACCCACATGCCCAGGAACGGCGGCGTGTTGAACAGGACGGCCGGGACGCCGGGCAGCACAGTGCACTACTCCTGCCAGCCCGGGCACCGCCTGGTGGGCCGCGGCAACGCCACCTGCAGGCGGAACCCCGTGGGCATGTTCCAGTGGGACGCCCTGCCCCCGCTGTGCCAGGGTGAGCCGGACCCTCCCCCTGAACCCCTTTCTGCGGCCATGCTGACCGGGCCGGAGCCAGGCTGGGGGGGGGGGGGGGGGGCGGGGGCTGAGGGTTTATAAAAGCTCACAGTCCACTTGGTGGCCGGAGGGCCATTCTAAAGCTCACTGCGTTTCATTTCAAACGGAAAAATGTGTTTTCTCACTTAGGCCCAAAATAGTTCTTTTGCAGCTGAAGTCACTTACAAAATCAACCAACGAATACGACTCTCCTTCTTTTAGGTTAGGCTCGTGCTCGGAGCCCTATGCTGCGGACTCGTTTTCTTTTGGTCTCTCAGATCAAGGGCTTGTTAAAGTAGATTTCAATATTTTACTCCTGTTTCATGTTTTTTTTTTCTGTCAAAGGCATAAAAGTCGGATCTTTCAAAGACGGCTTTTTAATTTTTAATTGAGGTCTTTGAAGTCCTGAAGTGTCAGAATTTTGTCTGACTGAGGTTTACATTCGAGAGGAAATGTGTTGGCCTTGGAAAGCTGATTATGATTTATGAATAGACCCTCCCCTTGGTCTCCTCTCCTCCTCCTTCCTGAATGTCAACTTCTCTGGTTGCCTACGAGCCAGTGGCAGGCGTGGATCTCACTCAGGGCTCCGCCCCTGGCCGCTAGGAGCCAGTGACAGACAAGTATCTCACTCAGAGCTCCGCCCCCTGGCCGCTAGGAGCCAGTGACAGACAAGTATCTCACTCAGAGCTCCACCCCCTGGCCGCTAGGAGCCAGTGACAGACAAGTATCTCACTCAGGGCTCCGCCCCCGGCTGCTAGGAGCCAGTGGCAGGCGTGGATCTCACTCAGAGCTCCGCCCCCGGCCGCTAGGAGCCAGTGACAGACAAGTATCTCACTCAGAGCTCCGCCCCTGGCCGCTAGGAGCCAGTGACAGACAAGTATCTCACTCAGAGCTCCGCCCCCGGCCGCTAGGAGTCAGTGGCAGACGTGGATCTCACTCAGGGCTCCGCCCCTGGCCGCTAGGAGCCAGTGGCAGGCGTGGATCTCACTCGGAGCTCCACCCCCGGCCGCTAGGAGCCAGTGGCAGGCGTGGATCTCACTCGGAGCTCCGCCCCCGGCCGCTAGGAGCCAGTGGCAGGCGTGGATCTCACTCGGAGCTCCGCCCCCGGCCGCTAGGAGCCAGTGGCAGGCGTGGATCTCACTCGGAGCTCCACCCCCGACCGCTAGGAGCCAGTGGCAGGCGTGGATCTCACTCGGAGCTCCGCCCCTGCCTCAGTGCTCAGCCCGCTCAGAAACCCTCTTTAAAGCCAGGTGCACACACCGGTGCATTAGGAAAGGTGATGATTTTTTCTTTAAAACAAACGTAAATTTTCTTCCAAAAGAAGCAACGCTCTTCGTTTTCTTTAAATGTTGGGTCGCTCTCCTCTGCGACGGAGAGCCGCTGCTGGAGCCGCCCACGGGCGCGCCCTGGCCCTGGACCTGAGTGTGCCGGCCAGGGGAGCAGCTTGGCCGCTGGGGACAAAGGAGCCCTGGTGGGTCCCCACGGGGCTCCCGGCAGAGCCACCTGGCGGGCAGGTGCGCCGGGAGGGGACCCCGCCTGCCCCGGGCAGGCTCCCCGTGGGACTTGCAGCCACTTCACCTGACAGTTTACTTATTTGCTGGGCATGTGTTCGTTCGTTCATTCTTCTTTAGGGGAGCCCCAGGTGAATGATGAGCGTAAGAGGGAACGTCACATGTTCAGGTGTCATTGATGATCTTGAGAGAGAGAGGAAGAGAGGGGGAGAGAAACATCGCTGTGAGAGCGAAGCACTGATTGGCTGCCTCCTGCACACTCCCTACCACCCCCGGCCATGGGCCCCGGCTGGGAGGGCCAGCAGCCTGGGGCTGCGTTGGAGGCCGGAGCCCAGAGAACGCGGCTGCCTCGCAGACGGGCAGGCCGGAGCGGTGGTCGTGGGAAAGAGTGCTTTGGGGCATTCTGCCCGTGGTCCTTCCTCACGGGCGGCCATGCCGTCAGAGTGATAGGCACGGACCTCTGGCCCAGCCTCTGACGCTGTGGCCCCCTGACCCCCTGAGGCTCAGACCGAGAGGCCCAGTCCGGGCAGGTGACTTAGAAACTAACGGATGTTCGGATCGAGGGTGCGTTGTAGCCTCGTTGCTGGCCTTTAACAGAACGTGTAGGAACATGAGTCCGGGGGTTGGGGTGCAGTAAGAAGGGGATTGGGGACGGAGTCGGGGGCTGCTCAGCGCCAGGAGTCCACGGCGGCGGGTTCAGTGGCTGAGAAGGCGTCGTGGGGCCCCTTCGCCCATGTTCCGTGGCGGGAGTGTCCCCGCTGATGGGACAGAGCGGCAGGGGGGTTAACGGGTCCTGGAGGAGCAGCCTGAGGCGCGGCTTCTCCTCGGCGGCCCGTGGTTCCTCGTTAGCCTGAGATCCTCACACCTGGCCCGTGTCACGCGTGTGCCGTCCATTAGACACGCGGCCGAGGACGGGAAGCTAACGGACGCGTTTGCCTCCGCAGCCGTGTCCTGCGGCATCCCCGAGGCCCCGGGGAACGGCTCCTTCGCGGGGAGCGAGTTCACGCTCGGCAGCAAGGTCACCTACGAGTGCGACGAGGGCTTCACGCTCGAGGGCAGCCAGCCGGCCTCCGCCGTGTGCCGGGAGGACGGGGCCTGGAGCCACGGAGGGGCGCCGCCCGCCTGCAAGCGTGAGTGCCCGGTCCCTGTGGCGCCTGGGGGCTCCTGGCGAGGGCCAGCCCGGGGCGGGGGGGGGCGAGCACCTGGCTCTGCATCGGGGGTCGCAGCCCACCTTCCCGCACACATCTCTGTCCCCCCCCACACACACACCTGTCCACACACACCTTCCCATGCACACCTTCCCGTAACCCACCTTCCTGCACACGTCCACGTCTCCACACACACACACACCTTTCCATACACACACACACACCTTCACACACACACCTTTCCATACACACACACACCTTCACACACACACACACACACCTTCCCACACACACACACCTGTCCACACACACCTTCCCATGCACACCTTCCCGAAACCCACCTTCCTGCACACGTCCACGTCTCCACACACACACACCTTCACACACATACACACACACCTTCCCACACACACACACCTTTCCATACACACACACACACCTTCACACACACACACCTTCCCGAAACCCACCTTCCTGCACACACCAACCTTCCCACACACACACACACCTTCACACACACACACACCTTTCCATACACACAGACACACACACCTTCACACACACAGACCTTTCCGAAACCCACCTTCCCGCACACGTCCCTGTCTCCCCCACGCACACACCTGTCCCCACACACCTTCCCATGCACACCTTCCCAAAACCCACCTTCCTGCACACGTCCACGTCTCCACACACACACACACACCTTTCCATACACACACACACCTTCACACACACCACCTTCCCGAAACCCACCTTCCCACACACGCCCCTGTCCCCCCACACACACACACACCTGTCCACACACACCTTCCCATGCAAACCTTCCCGAAACCCATCTTCCTGCACACACCCACCTTCCCACACACACACACCTTCACACACACACACACACACCTTCACACACACACCTTCCCACACACACACACCTTTACACACACACACACACACACACACACACACCTTCACACACACACCTTCTCATGCACACCTTCCCGAAACCCACCTTCCCACACACACTCATGTCTCCATATGCACACCTTCACACACACACACCTTCTCGCACACACACACCTTCCCACACACACACACCTTCACACACACACACACACACACACACACCTTTACACACACACACCTTCCCGCACACACACACCTTCCCATGCACACCTTCCCGAAACCCACCTTCCCGCACACGTCCATGTCTCCACACACACCTTTCCATACACACACACCTTCCCACACACACACACCTTCCTGCACACACACACCTTCACACACACACACACCTTCCCGCACACACACACACCTTCCCGCACACACACACCTTCCCGCACACACACACCTTCCTGCACACACACACCTTCAAACACACACACACACCTTCCCGCACACACACACCTTCACACACACACACACACCTTCCTGCACACACACACCTTCCCGCACACACACACCTTCCCATACTAGTGCACACAGAGCCACACACACTCACACACCAGCTGGTGCACACAGAATCATTTTAAACCGATCGCACTTTTAGAAAATACAAACCCTCGCATCCCGGGCCGGGCGCACACTGCAGCCAGCGTCTTGGCAGGTTCCTTGCCGTTGAGGCTGGCGGTGACCCGGTGGCACTTCCGCAGCCATCGCTGCCGAGGCTCCTTGTCCCCCCAGAGCCCGCGCCCCCAGAGCCCGCACCCCAGAGCCCGCACCCCAGAGCCCGCACCCCAGAGCCCGCACCCCAGAGCCCACACCCCCTGAGCCCACGCCCCAGAGCCCACACCCCCTGAGCCCACGCCCCAGAGCCCACACCCCCTGAGCCCACGCCCCAGAGCCCGCACCCCTGAGCCCGCGCCCCAGAGCCCGCACCCCAGAGCCCGCACCCCAGAGCCCGCGCCCCAGAGCCCACACCCCAGAGCCCGCGCCCCCTGAGCCCGCGCCCCAGAGCCCGCACCCCAGAGCCCGCGCCCCTGAGCCCACGCCCCAGAGCCCGCACCCCTGAGCCCGCGCCCCAGAGCCTCGGCCTCTGTCTCGGAGCATGGGGAGACGCCTCCTGAGGCACGGCTGCACGTGTTCTGCTCGTGATGGCGCCTTGTGCATGTGACCTGCTCCAGCGTGGGGACCCGGGACGGGCAGCCCATTGTGCAGGGAGGGGTGGGGATGGAGGGCAAGAGGGCGTCTCCTTCCCCGGAATCGGCGCCCGGCTGCTTTCATATGACTCAGTCGGATGCCCGTTCCAGGGGGGTATTGAGACAGACAGGTGAACCGTGTTCACTTACCGTGAAAGCATGTTCACCTTCGCATGAGCTTGTGCCCTTGGGTCAGGGCCTCGCTGCAGGTCTCCCGAGCAGGAGCCGCGGGCCCTGCACGCATCGCCCACGTGAGAGCAGCGGGAGGAGTGGGGTGGGGACCCGGGGGAAGGGGCACGGGCACGGCTTCCCCAGCGGGAGGGCTGGGCAGGAGGTCTCTCGGACGAGGCGCGGGCACACGGACGGGGGGGCGTGCTGACCTGCGTGCCTCTCCCAGCGGTTACCTGCCCCCCCGTCGAGGCGCAGCTCTCGGAGCACGTGACCTGGAGGCTGGTGGCGGGGTCCCCCAACGAGTTCGGCGCGCAGGTGGTGCTGAGCTGCAGCCCCGGGCACTACCTGGAGGGCGCCCGGCTGCTGCGGTGCCAGGCCAATGGGACATGGAGCGCCGGCGGGCAGCGGCCCCGGTGCAGAGGTGAGTGCGCCGGACACGGGCAGACACCACTGTGCGCACTCGGCACCGTGTCCTCTCCATGAGCCTGGACACGGGCAGACACTGCTGTGCACACTCAGCACACGTGTTTTCTCCATGAGCCCGGACACGGGCAGACACCGCTGTGCGCACTCGGCACCGTGTCCTCTCCATGAGCCGGACATGGGCAGACACTGCTGTGCGCACTCAGCACACGTATTTTCTCCATGAGCCAGGACACGGGCAGACACCGCTGTGCGCACTCAGCACACGTATTTTCTCCATGAGCCAGGACACGGGCAGACACCGCTGTGCGCACTCAGCACACATGTCCTCTCCATGAGCCCAGACACGGGCAGACACCATTGTGCACACTCAGCACACGTGTCCTCTCCATGAGCCCGGACACGGGCAGACACCGCTGTGCGCACTCAGCACCGTGTCCTCTCCATGAGCCCGGACACGGGCAGACACCGCTGTGCGCACTCAGCACCGTGTCCTCTCCATGAGCCTGGACACGGGCAGACACCGCTGTGCGCACTCAGCACACATGTCCTCTCCATGAGCCCGGACACGGGCAGACACCGCTGTGCGCACTCAGCACATGTGTCCTCTCCATGAGCCAGGACACGGGCAGACACCGCTGTGCGCACTCAGCACACATGTCCTCTCCATGAGCCAGGACACGGGCAGACACCGCTGTGCGCACTCAGCACACGTGTCCTCTCGTGAACCCAGCACACAACCTGGGGCAGGGCTCATGGAGTCGCCCTTTGACAGGGTTTTCTAACAGTAATGAAGGAGTGCTTATTTTTTAAGAATAATTTTAATTTAGACAGCTAAGAAGGAAGATTCAAAAACACATTCCACAGAAGCGAGTGGAACACATCCAGGCAGTGCCCAGGTGCGGGCCTCACTGAGCGCTCCCAGCCCCAGCAAACCCGCCCTGAATGAGAGGAACCCCTGTGTGTGTGTGTGTGTGTGTGTGAGGGGGGGGGGGGCCGGCTGTGACCCCCGGGGCCCTGTCCCGGTGCTGACCTCAGGCTGTTCTTCCCTGCGGGCCCACACCGGCCCCGGGCTGTCATGCGGGCCGCGTGCCCGGTGCAGACCGGATGCCTGTGCGGGCAGCAGAGGGGCTTGTGCGTGAACAAGAGGGCATTGTGGGTGTATCTTCAAGAAAGGCTTAGCTGCCTGTGAGGACGAAACCATAGCAGTGGGCGAGGAAGGACCTAGAAGACTCTGGAATCCACGCCAAACGTTCTCGTTTCCCTGTCAAGGACATGAGAGGAGGGAAGGGAAGCGCCCAGCTGGTTGCCGCCCCCCCTGAGGGGAGGACACCGCCCTGGTCTCGGTGAGAACCGGCCTGGCTGCTCCCGGTGAGCCAGGCGGCGGGGGCCGGGTCGCTCACGGTGCTCTCGCTCCCCGCAGTGATCTCCTGCGGAGGCCTGTCCTTCCCGCCCAACGGCAACAAGATCGGGACGCTGACCGTGTACGGGGCCACGGCCATCTTCACGTGCAACACGGGCTACACGCTGGTGGGCTCCCACGTGCGAGAGTGCCTGGCCAGCGGGCTATGGAGCGGCTCTGAGACGCGGTGCCTGGGTGCGTGTCCCCCCCCCCTACCCCTACCCCGCCACCCCCTACCCCGCCCCCCCTTACCCCGCCCCCCCACCCACCCCCTGCCTGCTTCACTCAGTGAACGGAGGGTGGAGGGAGACCCCTCACAGGAATGCCCAGCCAGCGGCCACCCCCCGCTCGCCGCGCTCACTGCGCTGACACAGGGGCGCCCTCACTCGGCTCCGTGGGAAGACGGGGCCTGAGTGATGGGAGCACCGCGGGAGGTCACCGAGGACAGGCCTGTGCTGGGGATTTAGGGCGCGGGAGCAGGAATTTCAAACGCCCGCCTTTAAACATTGCGCATTGTGTCCACGAGTGAAAGGGACACTCCTGTCACGCAGCGTGGCACGCGGATTGCCCAAAGTGGCAGGCGTGTGCAATGGCTCGGTCTCTCCCCAGAGATGAGAAAGGCTGGCTGGTAATTTGTAAAGAGTGAGCGGAACACCGTCCATGGGGCAGCCTTCCGAGGGGCCGGGGAGCCTCGGGAATAAGCAGCGTGGAGCGGGGGGTCTCTGATGCTCCCCGAGAGATGGGGGAACGGTGACCTCCACAGACCCTGCAATCTCGGTGACCTTCAGCCGCGGGACAGCTGAGGCTGAGGAGCTGAGCCTCTGGCTGTCAGGGGCCAGGACCACCTGGGGGCGTTGTGGGCGATACGGATATGTGTCAGGAGGGTTTGTAGAAAGACTCAGAACTAACTGGAAGGCAGGACAGCAGGAAAGTCGTCAGTGGTGCCACAGAACAGCCACGTGCGGAGTCTGGGACATGGCTCTGTCCTCTCTCACCGGAGACGCGGATTCTGGAACGCCGTGTGCGGATCCAGACCCGAGGGCAGGAACCCTCTCCTGCTGAGGGCCACTGGGTGTTTATAACGGCATCCGCGGGCCAGACCAAGTGACCCACATAAAAGCAGCCTGCTCTGTGTGGCCAAACGTTTAATTAACTCAAGCTCAATGCCTTGGCGGGGCCAGACCCAACCGTTTCACCGGCCTTCCGTGGCCCACGGGCCGACGTCCCCCTGATCTATGTTGGGTGCCGCGGGACAGGCTCAGGACGGTGGCCTTCCCCCGGGCTGCGTGTGGTGCCCGCCGTGCGGTGACCGTGACTGTGGTTCTGGGGCTGTCTGTGCATTCCTACATGTTCTCATGAGACAGTCCGTTCCCTGAGCAGTGTGCTCCGCAGGGCGGCCACGGGCTGGGTGGGTCTCCTTGTCGCCTGCCGTGCCCTGGCCCGGGACGGAGAAGGGCCGGGGTCTCAGCCATGTCAGTGCAGTGAGGGAGAGAAACAGAATTCAATTCCAGTGGAGCCTCGCTGTGGACACCACACCCTGGCCATCCTCAGGGCGCCAAGCGTGCGTGTGGGCGTACGGCCTCTGAGAGACGTGGAGCCATGCTTTCTGCGTGGGTGTCTATAGCAAAGCCAGGGTCGGAGCAAGAATTTAAAAACACTCAGACCAGGACATTCAGGACATTGTCACCGGAGGACAGAACCTGACATGTACGGCAAGCTCAGAGGCATGGGCCCACACTGCAGGCGAGGCTGGTGCCCCCTGTCCCCTGGCACCGAGGTCCTGGTTCACGCTGGGTGGGGGTCTGGTTGCCCCCCCTGGCACTGAAGTCCTGGTTCACGCTGGGAGGGGGCCTGGGAGAAATGCTATTTGTGAGTTGCCAGGACTTGGTCCCCGGGCGCCATGGGGATGGTGATGAGCGTGATGCCCGCCTGTTCGGCAGACACGGCTCCTCCTGAGGTTGTCAAGTAGAAAGCTGACAGCAGCCGCCCCAGCAGCGCCGGTGAAGGGCTCAGCGCTCCTGTCTTGTTGTCAGGCCGGCCAGGGGGTGTCATGTGGAATGCCGCAGAGTCTCTGGGTCAGTGGAGGCCGTGCGTGGGTGAGGAGGGTTGGCACTCACTGGTCTCAGGCTGAGTGTTTAAAAGGATCGCAGCTGAGAGCTGAGACACCTCGGAGCCGGGTCAGGAGGCAGCAGCATAGCCAGGCCACCCTGTCCCTCAGCCCCAGAGAGCCGCGGCCCCTCGGGCCTCCTTCCTGGCTCTGCTCGCCGCTGTGATGCGTTTGCCCCCCAGTTACCTTCTCACATCTCAGACCCCTCCTGTCACAGGCCTTCCTCCCCCGACTGCTAACCTCCCCCGGCTCTTCCCGGGCGTGTCCCCCCCATCTCCCCCTTCCTCCTGGGCACTCCTCCCCCGGCGCTGGGTCACCATCTGGGCTGGTTTCCTGTGAACCTGCCGGGGCCAGAGTCACTTTTCCGCTGGTCACACTCACTGCCACCTGGACGCTGGCCCCGTCTGTCCTTGTCTCAATGGAGCGGATGCTGTGGCTTCTGTCTCTCCTTCGGAACCGTGTGTGACGTTCAGAAATCTCTGCCCTGGGCCTCCTCTCCTGTGGCCGTCCCTGACGGCCGTTTCCACGGGCCCGCACCCCATCCTGTGGAGCCCACGCCCTTCCTCTCTGCGGGTTTGCCTTCGGGAACAGGAGACAGGATAACAGGGACCTCAGACAGGCACGCGGGTGACAGGAATAACTCGGGGACCCAGTGCTGGGGTGACCCATGGACCACGTCATCTCAGAGATGCTACTTCTGCCACCCACGGTTATTGAGAAAAACAGACCCGTTAACAAGGAAACTATATCCAACTAACATGAAAAGGGGAAACAGCGTGTACATTCTGCACCCGACGCTGTCATCCGCTTGACCATGAAGGTCAGCAAATGGGAAGGTAGCGCTTTTAGCAGAAACAGATCTTTGCCCAGGCCTGGCCAGCTGAGCATCAACCTAGGAACCAGGAGGGTTCAGTTCCCGGTCAGGGCCCAGGAGTGTGCAGGAGGCAGTGGATTCATGATTCTGTCTCATCAGGGATGTTTCTATCTCTCTCTCCTTCTCCCTCCCCCCCCCCCCACTCTCTGAAATCAACACAAATATATTTAATAAACAAACAAGTAAATAAATTTGTGAAAGACAGTCTGGGAAACATGGGTGGGGTGCTCTCACCTCTGCAGCCGGCCACTGTGGCTCCCCGGACCCCATCGTCAACGGCCACATCAGCGGGGACGGCTTCAGCTACCGGGACACGGTGGTGTACCAGTGCCACGCCGGCTTCCGGCTGGTGGGCACCTCCGTGCGGATATGCCTGCAGGACCACAAGTGGTCGGGACAGACGCCGGTGTGTGTGGGTGAGTTCTCGGCCCAGAGGCAGGCGCTGCACCACGCCTTGTCCTTGTGAGCGGGAGCAGGTGTGTTTGATCTCCTGCGCGAATGCACGGAGAAATGGCCTGACCATCCCACTCTCCCCACTCGGTTTTCTGGTGCCGTCCCCACTGGGTACTCTCTCGCCTCCTCGGACCCCTGTCCACAGCGTGTTTGCCCCTCACTCCCCGGAGGTGGGTCCCAGGAGGCTGAGGGCCGTGTGCACTCCCTGGCCTCATCCCAGAGCGAATGTGGGCACCGGCGCTGAGCCTGCCGCTCGGGCCGTCTTGCAGGGCCCCCCACCCATCTGCGATTGTTTTGTGTATTTATCATCGGTTCATCAGGAATACAGAGAGCAGTCCTTTCTTTAATAGAAGGAGGTGAATTGTATGTAACGATGGCCCTCACATGTGATAACGTCTTCCGTAATATGGATGCGTACCTGCAGGAGAGATGGCACCCTCATTGTGAAGTTTGCTAAGCCACTTTTCCCCTCACCTCTCTGTTAAACAAAGGACGCGGTGGTGTAGGCTCAGCATGGAGCAGGCATTGTGTGAGGGAGCAGAGGGCGGAGCTTAGCTGGGGGAGAACACTGTTGACGAGATAAACGAGGAGAAAACACCCGCGTTCGGGCTGAACACTGCCCTTGAAAGGCTCTTTGTGCCTCTGAGACCTGGGCACGACATAATGAGAGCATCGCACACTGGGCGCTCAGAGACGGCACCATGTGAGCTTGCACACTTTTCTCTCTTTGTTCTGTCCTGCCCAGTTTCACGATGTTTAGATTGATACTGGATTAATTTATCCGTACACAGGTTACTGCCTCGGACGAGTCCCATAATATTTCAAAATGAGAGTTCAAAGGGGAAATAGTCAGAACTCACAGTGTATGCAAGAATGTCAGGGTCTCCTGTCTTCACCGCTGTCTTCGAAAATCACTTGTGAGGCTGTCAGAATATGAGCAAGGAATAATGCTTCCTGTGATGGGGGAAAGGCCCATTTTTCTGAAGTGCTCTCCGGAATCACTATAGTGACACCTGAGGGCCCGGCCCGTGGGTGTTCCCGTCTTTCCTTCTGAGGGAGTGCAGGACGGGTGCAATCCGTTCACGCCCCGGGACCCACACGCTCCGCACCGCGTGTGTGTCCGTGGCAGGGGACTTGCTGGCCGGTGACGGGGACGGGGGCCTGTCTCCCCTGCAGCCATCACCTGTGGGCACCCGGGCAACCCCGCCCACGGGCTCACCCACGGCAGCCAGTTCAACCTGAACGACGTGGTCAACTTCACCTGCAGCGCCGGCTACGTGCTGCAGGGGGCGCCGCAGGCCCAGTGTCGCAGCAACGGCCAGTGGAGCAGCCCCCTGCCCACCTGTCGAGGTAGGAAATGGGGGAGCCTGCCCTGGAGGTGCAGGCACCCAGAAACAACCCGGGGTCCTCTACTTTAAAGACGGCGCGTCTTCCATTTCTCTCCGTACTCGCTCGCACCCATTCGCTGACGCCACGCTACTCAGCACCTTTGTGCCCACGGGCTTCTGGACGTGGGGGCATTCCCATGCCTTTAAGAAAGCCTTCTGGCTTTTAAACCTCCGTTTCTCTCAAACTGTCGCAAAGGTCTAGGCGCATGTCTGAATTTCCGAGGACATCCTGTTTTGTAGCTTTATATTTCTAGGCGTTTGAGCTCATAACATGGAAGCTTCGCCTTCAGTCACTGCCCATTAAAGCACCTCTCGCGTGAGGTGAGCCACACGTGCGTGTGGAGGTGAGGCTTGTCTCGTGGTGGTGACACGGGGTTAAAGCCGGGGCTCGTGAACGGCCCCGACACCCACCACCTCCCCGAGGGCTCCCGAGGAGCTTTGTTCAAGGAGACGAAGCAGGACGGGAGCCTGCGGTGTCACTAGAGCAGCAGTGGGTGACGCTGGCTACCAGCCCTGGCGTTCTGGCCCCAGTGTACCGCCGGGCTGGGCTTCAGCTCAGGACAAGGCACACCCCCCAGGCCCACGTCCCAGGAAGCAGGCTGTTAGGGTCCGGATGTCCAGGGAGGAAGCAGTGGCACTGGTGAAACCTGGGCACTGACACTGCCCAGAGCAGAGGGGACGCCCTAGGGGGACAGGGAGGAGCTGGACGCAGCCAGACCTGTCGCTGTCCCAAGAGCAGCGTTTCCGGCCGTGCTGGCAATGCCGGGTCAGCCAGCGCCCACAGGGAGCTTCCTGTTTAAAAAAAGGAAGCAGGCCACGGTCCCACCCAAATCACAGCCTTTCTTCTTCCTGCCCTTCATTTCTCCTTCCCCTTCCTGAGCACTAAGGGACACAGGCCAATGTGCTGAGTGAGGGCTGGCATTATTGCTCCACGTTGACTTTCTGGACCAGAGAGATGTGGAGAGGGTACCCCCCCACAGCAGCAGCTGCCTCTTCCATACTGGGCTGGGTCAAAGGGCAAGATGATCAGGGATTTTCTGTTCCTCTGCAGCTGCGGGTTCACATTGCACACCCCTCCAGATTCCTCCTGCAGATTCAGGTTGTCTGAGAGCCATTCACACCCACCAGGGTGCCATTCACACCACCCAAGGCACCATTCACACAACCCACAGCTCCATTCACACCACTCAGCATGCCATTCACACTCCACAAAGCACCATTCACACCATTCAGCATGCGATTCACACTCCACAGAGCACCATTCTCACCACTCAGCATGCCATTCACACTCCCCAGTGCACCATTCACACTACCCAGGGTGCCATTCACACACCCCAGAGCTCCATTCACACCATTCAGCATGCCATTCACACTCCACAAAGCACCATTCACACCATTCAGCATGCGATTCACACTCCACAGAGCACCATTCTCACCACTCAGCATGCCATTCACACTCCCCGGTGCACCACTCACACCACCCAGGGTGCTGTTCACACCACCCAAGGCACCTTTCACACACCCCAGAGCTCTATTCACACCACTCAGCATGCCATTCACACCAGCCAGGGCACCATTCACACACCCCAGAGCTCCATTCACACCACTCAGCATGCCGTTCACACTCCCCAGTGCACCATTCACACCAGCCAGGGCACCATTCACACTCCCAAAGCCCCATCCTCACTGGCGGAGCGCCCCTCACATTGGGCGCATGTGGAAGCACGCCTGTGTGCAGGCGGGGTGATGATCATTTGCAGAGACTGCCCTAAAGCATCGCACAGGTGGGGGAAATTAAACGAACTTCCGAGGGTTCTGGGCTAACATTTTCATAGCATAACACTTAACCACGGAAACCGGTCCTTGCCTTTCCGTGAAGAAGCCAGTTATTGCAAAATAGGTCAAGGGAATGAGCCGTGGGTTTCACCGAGAGAGAGAATTGCGTGAGGTGCCCTGGCCATGCTGGCGTCGCCTCTGAACTTTCTGAAACTTCGGCGAGTTTCCTTCTCCTCGCACCTGTGGTGTGTGCGAACGCGCAGCCGCCTCTAAGCTGCCAGGCGGCCCTGCTCCCCGCGTCTCTCAGCCTCCTCTCGCGCTCTCTCCAGTGGTCAACTGCTCGGACCCCGGCTCCGTGGACAACGCCGTCCGCCAGAGCGTCCCCGAGAGCCTCGTCTACGGCCGGACGGTCGTCTACCGCTGCAAGAAGGGCTTCTACCTGCTGGGCTCGCCCGCCTTGACCTGCACGGCCCGCGGCTTGTGGGACCGCGCCCTGCCCCAGTGCGTGGGTACGTGAGGGGGTGTGGGTTTGGTGCCACAGCGTCCGATACGCACGTCAGCAGCACGAACGTTACTGACGCTTTCTGTCCCGCACTCAAATAGGTCTTGATTTTTCATTCTCTCTAAACCCAGTCCCTAGGCACAAGTCGTGTTAATTACGAGGATGTCCTGACCAATGGGCAGGCGGTCACGCACTGCAGCTCAGGCTGGGTGGGGACAGGGGGCACGCTGGGTGCCCACTGCCTGTCCCCGGGGGAAGTGGATGCAGACATGAGCCCCCTGGGCCTTGTCCTCTCTGCTCACACTGCCCGGCTCCTGCTTCCCCCAGCGGACACGGGTCCCACCTGGCGGCCTCGACGCCATCGGCTCTCACTGCTCTCCGCGGAGACCCAGGGTCAGGGATACTGGCTGCGCTGTGGCACGGAGTGTCTGCTAGTGACCTGGCTGTGGCCAGAGGGGCAGTAACTCCAGGGACTGACTCGGGTCTTGTGAGCATCGCTGGTCCAGTCAACACAATAGAACAAGGGTCCCTGGACAGTCCCTTCCCCTGACCCCCGGGAGGTTTAAATCGGGGGAGCCCACTGCCCTGAAGAAGGGGAACACCAACAAAGTGGTAGACTCCCCGCTCGAGTCTCCGTTAACACGGGGGCCACTTTCCCTCAGCCCAGTGGTCGGCAAACTCATCAGTCCACAGAGCCAAACATCAACGATTGAAATTTCTCCTGAGAGCCACATTTTTTTAAACTTAAACTTCTTCTAACGCCACTTCTTCAACATAGACTTGTCAAAGGCCATGGTATTTTGTGCAAGAGCCACAGTCAAGGGGCCAAAGAGCCGCCTGTGGCTCGCGAGCCAGTTTGCTGACCACGGCCTTAGACCTGGGTGAACGGGAGCGCTGGGTCTCCCTGACACAGCTCCAGTGTGACCCCCTTTCCTGAACAAGCTGGTGGTCCCTGAGCTGAATGAGTCTCTGGTCAGAACACAGTCTGAACTTAGGAAACGGGCGGCTCTCCGGGGTTCATAAGTGAGTCCGTGCTCGTCCGGAGAAGCTGCAGGAGACAGCGGGAGGCAGCACATGCGTTGGGAGCCGCATCGGTGACTCGGCCACGGAGGGCCTCTTACCACCTGGAAGGGCACATTCCCTGCGCGTCCAGAAGGGGCTGGGGCTGGGGCTGGGTTTCCCTGCAAGTCAGCGCCCCACACAACCCCTTCCTTACAATGGGGAAACACACCCCGAATTCCCACTGTGGCCACAGGAGAGAGAGAGAGAGAGAGAGAGAGAGAGAGAGAGAGAGAGAGAGAGAGCGTGTCCCCATGATACACCCTCAGCCAGCGCACCGCGTTCTCCGCCTGCCTGCCTGGGGAAGTCGGAGGCCGTCCTTTTTCCCTTTCCTCCCGAGCAGCCCTGTGAGCCCCATGGCTCTGGAGGCCCCTGTGTGTCCAGCGATGCCCGTGGCCCCGCAGCTGAGGAGCCAGGTTCTCCCGGCCTGGGGCCTCTGTGACCTTGGTGCCCCGGGTGAAGGGCGAGGCTGCAGAGGCGCCTGCTCCTTCCCGGGCTCCAGCAGCGAGGCTCGCTGGCCTGTTTCCTGGATCCTTTTCCTCCTGTTCACCGGGAGCCGGTCCTGTAGCCCATGTCCCCGATTCAGGTCAGATTGTCTTCGATTCAGGACACTCTCCAGATCCAACCGTGCTCTCCAGCCCAAGGCCGCGGTGTTCGCTGACCGCAGCCAGGGTCCGTCCGTCGGGCCCACGTGGCCGGCTGACTGATGCCTCGCGGCCTCCTCCCCCCCACACCCCCGCCTCCTGCTGGGCGTCCGGTGGGGCTGCCCGTGGCCACAGGTGGTCCCTCCCGTGGCCGTAGACGTCCTCGCAGGATGTGCCCAGTGAGCTGATGGCAGGCAGCAGGCCATGTGCCCACAGTGCACCCAGTGGGGAACTGGATCGACAGGGAGAGAGAAATCCTGTTATTCCATCTTACTCCGACATCCGGAATATGGATTTTTGAGGGAGAATTAGTGAATCATGACGGGCCTGGTTTGGTGTAATTGTAGAAAGTGAATGGGGATTACCTACATTAATTTACAGAGTAACTTGGAGAACAAATCAATCGGTAACTTATTATTATTACTTCACGTAAAGATGCTATTTCTTGTTATTTTTGTTGTTGTTAATCCTCACCTGAGGACATTCTTCCTGCTGCTTTTCAGAGAGAGCGGGAGGGAGGGAAGGAAGGGAAATCAGTGAGAGAAACATGGATGTGGAAGGGACACATTGACAGGTTGCCCCCCACACCTACCCCGACCCCAGGTACAGGCCCTCGACTGGGAATCGAACCCGAGACCCAGTACTCTAACCACTGGGCCTCTGGCCAGGGCCGACTTACACCTTGTAGACCCTCCCCATGCCAAGGGCGGGGGCTGGTGCCTTCCCGGACGCCAGAGATCGGGGAGCACATTTGAGGTCTTTCCTGCGGGCAGCCTGCTGGTGTGGGAGCGTGAAGGGCCGAGGGGACATGTGGCCCGGAGGGACTTCCCCTCGGAAAACCTATGTGTACACGTCCCCTCACACAAAGCGACCCCCTCTGAGACCTTCAAAGCCTCCTGATGAGCCGCTCCCGGGGTCCCTCACGTCCGGCCTGGGAGGGAGCTGGGGGCAGTCACGTCCGGCCTGGGAGGGAGCTGGGGTCCCTCACGTCCGGCCTGGGAGGGAGCTGGGGACCATCACGTCCGGCCTGGGAGGGAGCTGGGGGCCGTCACGTCGGCCTGGGAGGGAGCTGGGACCATCACGTCCGGCCTGGGAGGGAGCTGGGGTCCCTCACATCCAACCTGGGAGGGAGCTGGGGTCCCTCACATCCGGCCTGGGAGGGAGCTAGGGGCCGTCACGTCCGGCCTGGGAGGGAGCTGGGGTCCCTCACGTCCGGCCTGGGAGGGAGCTGGGGTCCCTCACATCCGGCCTGGGAGGGAGCTGGGGGCCGTCACGTCGGCCTGGGAGGGAGCTGGGGTCCCTCACATCCGGCCTGGGAGGGAGCTGGGGGCCGTCACGTCGGCCTGGGAGGGAGCTGGGGTCCCTCACATCCGACCTGGGAGGGAGCTGGGGTCCCTCACATCCGGCCTGGGAGGGAGCTAGGGGCCGTCACGTCCGGCCTGGGAGGGAGCTGGGGTCCCTCACGTCCGGCCTGGGAGGGAGCTGGGGTCCCTCACGTCCGGCCTGGGAGGGAGCTGGGGTCCGTCACGTCGGCCTGGGAGGGAGCTGGGGTCCCTCACATCCGGCCTGGGAGGGAGCTAGGGGCCGTCACGTCGGCCTGGGAGGGAGCTGGGGGCCGTCACGTCGGCCTGGGAGGGAGCTGGGGACCATCATGTCCGGCCTGGGAGGGAGCTGGGGACCATCATGTCCGGCCTGGGAGGGGACCGGCCTGGGAGGGAGCCGGGGGCCGTCACGTCGGCCTGGGAGGGAGCGATGCAGGCGCTGGGTGTTCCGCGGGCAGGGACGGGCAGGGACGGGCAGGGACGGGCAGGGTCGAGCAGGGACAGGCAGGGCTGTGCCCTCACTTTATCCCTGTTCCGCAGCCATATCCTGCGGGCACCCGGGCGTGCCCGCCAACGCCGTCCTCACGGGGGACGTGTTCACGTTCGGGGCCACAGTCCGTTACTCCTGCCAGGGGGCGCGCAGCCTGGTGGGCGACCACAGCCGCGTGTGCCAGGAGGACGGCCACTGGGGCGGGGCGCTGCCCCACTGCACAGGTGAGCCCGCAGCCGCTCCACAGGGGGCGTCAGTGCGTGCCCAGCCAGCGACGCCTTCACCTGCACCAGCCCCTTCTCCTTCCCCGTCTCCACAGCACTTCCTGCTGGTCTGTTCCTGCGCCCAGGGTCCCGCTCTCTGGCTTCAGCCCAAGCGCCCGAGTCCTCCCCGCCCCCCTGCCTCTCTGATGGATCATACATTGCTCTTCCCCCCAAAACAATCATCTTCATTCTTCCATGCATGTTCCCTAAGTGAATAAAACACAGGAACCAGCAACCCTAGACTCAGTTTGAAGATCCCGCTCTCACAGGTGCCTGAGCCCCGCATGCCCACTGCACACAGCCCACGCCCTGTGCACGTACCCTGCCTTCCCCATGGAGCCCGTCCCCTCCCCAACGTGACCCTCCCCCGATGGGACCTCCCCCGGATGCCCACGGCCACCGGGACCGCGTCCAGGTGTGGTGTTAGGTGCCCAAGAACAGCGTATTCATTTTCTAATTTATTTTTGTTGACGTCAGAGAGGAAGGGAGAGGGAGAGGGAGAGAGAAACATCCATGATGAGAGAGAATCAGTAATCAGCTGTCTCACCCGACGCGGGGGATCCAGCCCACAGCCCGGGCCTGTGCCCAGACCGACCGGGAACCAAACTCTGACTTCCTGGTTCAGAGGTCGGTGCTCAGCCCCTGAGCCACGCCGGCCGGGCACTAACAGTGCAGTAAGGGCCCCGTGTCTGTGCTGTGAAGAAGCCTCCTGAGCTGCCGGAGCGCCTGTAACCGTGCCCGGGGTCAGTCCTCTCGGCTCCGGGCCCGTCCTCCCACGTCTCACCGCCCTGTGGTCCCGGGTGTCTGTCTCCGCAGGAAACCACCCGGGGTTCTGCGGGGACCCGGGGACCCCCGCCCACGGGGCGCGGCTGGGCGAGGAGTTCAAGGCCAAGAGCCTGCTGCGCTTCTCCTGCGAGGTGGGCTACGTGCTGCGCGGCTCCCCCGAGCGCACCTGCCTGCCCAACGGCTCCTGGTCCGGGCGGCAGCCGGCGTGCGAAGGTGAGGGACACCCCCCTCTCTGTGCATGAACTTCATGCACCGGGCCTCCAGTCCTATACAATAAAAGCCAAGTATGCAAATTGACCGAACAACAGAACAGCTGGCAGAACAACCGGTTGCTATGATGCACACTGACCACCAGGAGGCAGATGCTCAATGCAGGAGCTGCCCCCAGCTCACCGGCCCCAGGCCAGCCAAGGCGGGTGCCAGTGGGGGCCTCCTGATCACCCCGCTGGTTGCCCTGCAGAGGGAGGTGACCAGCAGTGGCTGCGTAAGGCAGGGCCGGTGAGCAGACAGCGCCAGGCTGGCCAAGCCAGGTCCCAGTGGGCATCTCCCGATCATCCTGATGGCTGCCCCGCAGACTGGCCCTGATCGCCAGCCAGACCTAGAGACCCTACTCCTGCCCGAGCTTCATGCTCCGGGCCTCTGGCTTCTTACTAATGACCTAATCCATCGCCCTGAAGCACGCTGGCCGCCCCACTCACTGCCTCGGGCTGTCACTCTGTGCCTGCAGCCGTGTCCTGTGGGAACCCCGGCACGCCCACCCATGGCGCGATCGTCAGCAGCGACGGCGTGCTGTTCTCCAGCTCCGTGGTCTATGCCTGCTGGGAGGGATACCGCACGCCGGGGCTCACCACCCGGCACTGCACCGCCAACGGCACCTGGACCGGCACCGCTCCCGACTGCACAAGTCAGTACCTGGCCCTCAAGGTCAACCCACGGGCAGGGCCGTGATATGGGCTTGACCGGGAGCAACGAGTTTATGTTTTCAAGTGCTGTGCTATGGTTTTAATACAGAGAGGAAAAAGACTCACGTAGGTCTGATGCTTTGACTTTCTGTATTTGGTACTTTGAGATTCTTTCCTTTCTTATTTATATGGTTGAAACTGTGTTAAAGGGCCAGCTAGACTGGACATTGTCCAACTGAGACCACAGAATGTCAAGGTCTGTTCTCTCTGTGGACCAGTGAGTCTGCAGGGAAGGAGGAAGGAGTCAGGTCCTCTATCATAGACAGCTCTCTCCTTGGCTCTGTGGTGAGGTCACACTCCTGCCTGGTCAGGGTCAGGGTCAGGGTTAGGGTCAGGATTATGATAAGGGTTAGAGTTAGATTTAAGGTAAGGGGTAGGGTAACAGGGTTAGGGTCAAGGTGAGGGTTATGGTTTAGCATTAGGATTTGGGTAAGGGTTAGGGTTAGGGTCAGGGTCAGGGTCAGGGTTAGGGTTAGGGTTAGGGTTATGGTTTAGCATTAGGATTAGAGTAAGGGTTAAGGTTAGGGTTAGGGTTAGGGTTAGGGTTAGGGTTAAGGTTAGGGCTAGAGCTAGGGTTAGGCTTAGGCTAAGGGTTAGGGTTAGCGTTAGAGTTAGGGTTAGGGTTTGTGTTAGGGTTAGGGTTAGGATCAGGCTTTGGGTTAGGGTTAAGGTTAGGATTAGGGTTAGGGCTAGGGTTAGGCTTAGACTTAAGGTAAGGTTTAGGATTATGGTTAAGGTTAGGGTAAGGGTTAGGGTTAAGGTTAGGGTTTGGGTTAGGATTATGGTTTGGGTTAGGGCTTGGATTAGGATTAGGAAGCCACAGTATGGCACAGGTTCAGTACTACCCGCCACCGATGGGATAGAAATCAGTGCTTCTAAACACTGTGTGTGGGACGCCAGAGGACACCTATGGAGGGGTCACGGTGAGTGGGTCTGAGGGAGGGGCTGCCGGGAGCCGGTTCTAATGACTCCCGTGACTATTTCCGTTTCTCCGCTTCTGCTCTGTTAACACGTCCCAGTCATCAGCTGCGGCGATCCGGGCACTCCCGCCAACGGCCTCCGGTTCGGCTCCGACTTCACCTTCAACCAGACCGTGAGCTACCAGTGCAGCCCCGGCCACGTGCTGGAGCCGGCCTCGGGGGCCGCCCTCCGCTGCCTGGCCGACGGCGCCTGGAGCCCCAGCCGGCCCGTCTGCAGAGGTGCGTCCCCGGGCGCGTTGAGTCTCACACGGGAGAAGTAGTTTGTGGAATTGTGGTTACTCCATCTTGCATGAACGCAGTCCTCCGTGCACTGCGAACGCTTGGGAGTGCATTTGCAAATGGCAAATCACGTGATTTTCCTATTTCCTTTTTTCCCCTTCCCCCCCCCCCAAAAATGATTGGGGAAAGTTTGATACTAAAATGTATACAGCCTGTTGTTAGAAAACCACAGCAGCAAATGGCTGGTGCAGTCCCTGAGCCTGCTCCATGGGGACACAGGGATGCTGACCCCCTGGGAGATTTTAAGTCTGAGGGGCTGTGGTTATTTCTCCCCACTCCTAAAGCCCGGGAGGAGTTCAGAGTAGCCCACAGCATGGAGAACAGGACCTACTTCCTCAAAAAGTTAAACACAGAACTGCCATTGACCCCGGACCCCACCTCTGGGGATGTATCCAGAGAGAATGGGTGCACCGTGTGCTCGCAGCACAGTCCCCATGGCTGAGATCTGGAAGCAGCCGGAGTGCCGTCAGCGGACGAGGGGGTGAAGGAGCGGTGGGACCTCCACACTGTGGAGTACTCTGCCAGCCGGGCCACTCGGGTGGCACTGCCGTCCTCCCCCTGGTCTCCCTCAGCATCCTGGTGTCCAACCCGGGGCCTGTGCACCTCCTATCACTCCCTCCGGAGCCCAGCCCTCACCTCAGGTTCTAGGGCAAATCTGCTGAAAAGATGCACAGACGGGTAGGAGCTTGAGTGGCCAGATCGGGGCCCCTTTTCAATGGCTGGGTGTGCGCCTGTGATTGTGGGGGTGACTATCTGCCTCCTCCCAGAGGCAGCCAGGACATGAACTCCTAGGAAAGCACAAGTGAGGAGGGCGGGGGGTGGGGGGGCAGATGAAGGAGGGAGGGCAAGTGAAGGAGGGAGGGCAGGAGAGGGAGGGCAGGCAGATGAGGGAGGATGGGCAGGGGAGGGAGGGAAGCTGGAGGTGAGGGCAGGTGAGTCTCCTGCTGCTGACTGTCAATGCCCGCCCTGTCTCTGGTGAGAATCCAGAAGCAGCTGGGTCTCAGGCAGGATGTGTCCCCTCCCCCGTGCATCTTGGCCTGAGTGCCGCAGAGAGGAAGGTGGCAGGCTCCATCGGCACCGGGGCTGGGCGCGGTGCCTGTGCTGGGCACCCAGTAATCCCCAGGCAGAGACAGTGCCCGGGCACCGGCTGCCGTGTGTTACAGAACCGTAACCACGCAAGCACCTGCTGTTTAATTATTCAGAACGTGGATCACCAGTCCATGTCCTTTAGAAATTATGTACTCTTTATTTTTTAATGTGTTTTTATTTATTTTTATTATTTATTTATTTTTAATGTGTTTTTATTTATTTTAGAGAGGAAGGGAGAGAGAGAGAAACATCCATGAGGAGAGAGAATCACTGATCGGCTGCCTCCTGCACGCCCCCCACTGAGGATAGAGCCCTCAGCCTGGGCATGTGCCCTAACCAGAAATTGAACTGTGACCTCCTGGGTCATAGGTCAGTGCTCAACCACTGAGCCACACCGGCTGAGAGAAAGCAGAGCAGGCCGCAGGAGAGCCCTGCCCGTGCCACATGTACAATCACAGGCTGTGCGCAGACCCAGGCCCTCGCCCGGTCAGACAGTCCGCGGGAACCGCATGGAGGGACGGATGGGACAGGGTGCTCCTTCCTTCCGTCCTTGGCCAGCGTGCACGGCACACGTCCCTCCGGTCCTCTCCTGAGAGCGCTGGCCTCGCTGTCCTCCTCGGTCTGAATTCACGGAGAGAGATGAGGGAGGGGCTGTATGGACTGGATCCCCTGTGCTCCTCAGTCATTCTTCTCTTAAAACATGAGCACCTGCTGTAGGCGTCCCCTGAAGGCGTGCCACGTGCTGCGTGGGCCAGGGGGGTGCGGCGGGGTGAGGCTGGTGGTCTGACCCGTGTCCTCCCTCCGGCAGCCGTGCTGTGCAGCCCGCCGCCCCCCGTCCCGCACGGGGAAGCGGAGGGCACCGACTTCCGCTGGGGCGCCAGCGTCAGCTACCGCTGCGCCCCCGGCTACCAGCTGGCGCAGCCCGCCATCCTGTCCTGCGAGGGCCCGGGCGAGTGGAAGGGGGAGACGCCGCAGTGCCTGCGTGAGTCCCCCACACCTTCGCACCCACAGGGGAGGGCTGAGCACCGGGTGACCATGGAGCTGCAGCCACGCGTCCCTGATGACCGGGCTGGGCGGCGCATGTCCAAGTGGAGCCGCCACTGCCCAGGGCGCGTTCTGCCCTTTATTTACTTTTCAAAATACATCTGTATCGATTTCCTAGAGCACTGGCCGGCAAACTGCGGCTCGAGAGCCACAGGCGGCTCTTTGGCCCCGTAAGAGTGGCTCTTTTACAAAACACCACGGCCTGGGCGAGTCTGTGTTGAAGAAGTGGCGTTAGAAGAAGTTTAAGTTTAAAAAATGTGGCTCTCCAAAGAAATTCCAGTCGTTGTCTCGTTGATGTTTGGCTCTGTGGACTCATGAGTTTGCCGACCGCTGGGCTAGGGGAGGGAAGAGGGAGAGATGGAAACATCCATGATGAGAGAGCGGCCCATGGACTGGCTGCCTCCTGCACATCCCCCACTGGGATGGAGCCCGCAGCCCGGGCCTGCGCCCTGACCAGGAATCACACCATGGCCTCCTGGTGCATGGGTTGGAGCTCACCGCTGAGCCACGCCAGCTGGGCGGATTCTGTCCTTTATGCCTCTTGCTGACCTCATGGCTGTACCCGAAGGTGGAGCAGAGCGGGGTGCGGGCCGCAGGGCACCTGGCCCGGGCACCCCGCGCTCACCCTGTGCTGTCCCCGCCAGCCGTGTTCTGTGGGGACCCCGGCACGCCCGCGGAGGGCCGGCTCAGCGGCAAGAGCTTCACCTACATGTCCGAGGTCTCCTTCCAGTGCCGGCCGCCCTTCGTCCTGGTGGGGTCGGCCCGGAGGACCTGCCAGGCTGACGGTGCTTGGAGCGGCGTGCAGCCCGCCTGCATCGGTAAGGACCGCCACGCCTCGGGCCCCCGGGGGTGAGGGCCTGTGGGGTACCACCGGGTCATTCGGGAGGGAGCGACTCCCGGAAGGTGCCCTTGAAGCCCTGGGTAGATGCCCACAGGGTAGGTGGCGCCTCCGTTAAGTCATGGCAGTGAATTCAGAGGCCCAGTGTGTGCAGTGCCCTTAGCCCCACAGGCTCCTGCCACCCCCGCTCCTGGCCACCGTCTGTCTGTCTGTCTCCCCAGAGTCCCCATGGAACCCCTATTCCTGTCTGTCTCCCCAGAGTCCCCGTGGAACCCCAACTCCCGTCTGTCTCCCCAGAGTCCCCATGGAACCCCAATTCCTGTCTGTCTCCCCAGAGTCCCCATGGAACCCCAACGCCCGTCTGTCTCCCCAGAGTCCCTGTGGAACCCCAACACCTGTCTGTCTCCCCAGAGTCCCCGTGGAACCCCAACGCCTGTCTCCCACTGAGTCCCCGTGGAACCCCAACTCCCGTCTGTCTCCCCAGAGTCCCCGTGGAACCCCAACGCCTGTCTCCCACTGAGTCCCCGTGGAACCCCAACGCCTGTCTCCCACTGAGTCCCCGTGGAACCCCAATGCTTGTCTCCCAGGGAACCGCTGGGCTGTGAGCAATGACAGCCAGGGTCACTGGGCACTCGGGTCTGGAGACCTTGGGATGGGAGTGAAACTTGCCTCAGGAGAGACTTCCTACGTGTCCCCAGTCCTGGTCCGTAGAGTCACACACACACACACACACACACACACCCGCCCGGGAAGGCTCGGGAGAGGTGGCATTTGTCCCTGTGAGCAACGCGGACACCAGCCCCTGACTGGAAGCGAAGGCTGAGCCCTGATCCCGGGGGCAGACTCAGTGCCCGGGCCCCGTGCTCGCTGGACGGTAGCTCTGTCCACTGAGCACGTGCTTCTCCCCAGGACGGTACCCTTTGAAGCAAGTGTTTTTTTAAGTTTCCCACGAGCAGCCGGAGAGAATCATGGTGACGAGCATCCCTGCCTCCTGACGGGCCAGGGCCACGTCGGGAAAGGGCCCCTGTGTCTGCCGTGGGCTTCCATTCTGTGGCCTCGGACATGTGTCCTCCGTTTTGAGGGGAATGGGTTTACGTAAACAGACGGACGTCACGGGGGCCCTGGGAGCTGGCCATCAGCTGGGCCCTTAAAACCCGGGTCGTCCGGTGGTTGGGAAGATGGGGGATTAACCCGCCGCTGGGAGGCGGAGGAGGGTGCTGTGCGGGGGACCGGAGCGGGCTGGAGCGCCGGAGCCCGAGGCCGAGCACCACTCACCTCAGTCCCCGTTTACACGCCCAGCAGCGCTGTCTGACGGCGCGGGCCTCGGCCGGGAGGCCCGTCTGTCCGGGCCCGTGGTCAGAGTGTGATGGTCCGTTTCAGATCCTGTTCACAACGCCTGCCCGGACCCGGGGACCCCCCACTTCGGGATACAGAACAGCTCCCGGGGCTACGAGGTGAGGCTTTCTGTCCACGTCAGTGTTCCGTCAGGTTCATGTGTCCGTGTGCCACGCCTGACCCAGCCATGTTAGCCCACACGGAACTCACGCAGGCAGAAGCCCTCGGCGTTTCCACTGGAACACGAGGTGGCCTGAGCGTGCTCCCCCAGGACCGGCCGCTGGGCCCTTTCACACCCGTGCTCCTGGCGCTGTGCTCCCCGGGACCGGCCGCTGGGCCCTGTCACACCCGTGCTCCTGGCGCTGTGCTCCCCAGGACCGGCCGCTGGGCCCTGTCACACCCGTGCTCCTGGCGCTGTGCTCCCCGGGACCCGCCGCTGGGCCTGTCACCGCCGTGCTCCTGGCGCTGTGCTCCCCCAGGACCGGCCGCTGGGCCCTGTCACACCCGTGCTCCCCGCGCTGTGCTCCCCGGGACCGGCCGCTGGGCCCTGTCACAGCCGTGCTCCTGGCGCTGTGCTCCCCGGACCGGCCGCTGGGCCCTGTCACACCCGTGCTCCCCGTGCTGTGCTCCCGGGACCGGCCGCTGGGCCCTGTCACACCCGTGCTCCTGGCGCTGTGCTCTCCCGGACCGGCCGCTGGGCCCTGTCACCGCCGTGCTCCCCGTGCTGTGCTCCCCGGGACCAGCCGCTGGGCCTGTCACACCCGTGCTCCCCGTGCTGTGCTCCCCCAGACCAGCCGCTGGGCCTGTCACACCCGTGCTCCCCGTGCTGTGCTCCCCGGGACCGGCCGCTGGGCCCTGTCACACCCGTGCTCCCCGTGCTGTGCTCCCCGGACCGGCCGCTGGGCCCTGTCACACCCGTGCTCCCCGCGCTGTGCTCCCCGGGACCGGCCGCTGGGCCCTGTCACACCTGTGCTCCCCGCGCTGTGCTCCCCGGGACCGGCCGCTGGGCCCTGTCACAGCCGTGCTCCTGGCGCTGTGCTCCCCGGGACCGGCCGCTGGGCCCTGTCACAGCCGTGCTCCTGGCGCTGTGCTCCCCCGGACCGGCTGCTGGGCCCTGTCACACCCGTGCTCCTGGCGCTGTGCTCCCCGGGACCGGCCGCTGGGCCCTGTCACAGCCGTGCTCCCCGTGCTGTGCTCCCCAGGACCGGCCGCTGGGCCCTGTCACACCCGTGCTCTGTGCTCCCCCAAGACCAGCTGCTGGGCCCTGTCACAGCCATGCTCCCCGTGCTCTGTGCTCCCCGTGCTGTGCTCCCTGGGACCGGCCGCTGGGCCCTGTCACAGCCGTGCTCCTGGCGCTGTGCTCCCCCGGACCGGCCGCTGGGCCCTGTCACACCCGTGCTCCCCGCGCTGTGCTCCCCGGACCGGCCGCTGGGCCTGTCACCGCCGGGCTGCCGCCCTCGGTGCTGCGGCGTGGCCCTCGGTGAGCGCCTGAGCCTGTGGTCTCCCCGCAGGTGGGCAGCACCGTGTTCTTCCGGTGCCGGAAGGGCTACCACGTGCAGGGCTCCACCACGCGCACCTGCCTGGCCAACCTGACGTGGAGCGGGATCCAGACCGAGTGCATCCGTGAGTGGCCCCCGGAGGGCAGGGGGTGCTCAGCCGACGCCGGGGGGGGGGGGGGGGGGGGCTGGCTTAGGGAGGCAGTGCGGGCGCCGTGTCCGTTGGCTTGAGTCTGACTCGCTGGGCCGGGGCGGCAGTGTTTGCTGGGGTTTGGAGGAACCGCAGATCCCACAGCCCGGCTGAGCCCCGCCGGGTCAGAATCCCGGGGCGCAGTGCTGACCGGGCCTCCAGGGGTTCCCCGGGCACCTGAGCTCTGAGGGACCGCCTCCCCTCACCCCAGTGGACAGCGGGGCAGGAGTCACAGGGGCGGGCGGGCCTGGGGGGCCACACTGTGGCTCCCAGCAGGGTTCCTTCCCATGGCCTAGGGGTAAGCTGCCTGAGGGGATATGCCCCATAATAACAGAACTGCTTACAATGCGCTTTTTAAATACATATGTGTGTGTGTGTGTGTGTGTGAGTATATATACATATCTATGCTAATAAAAGGAAATATGCTAATTAGACCAGGAGACCTGCTGGACAGAGCCATGAAGGCAGGGCTGAGGCAGAGGCAGTTGGAAGCGATCAGGCCAGGAGGGAAGGGCAGTTGGGGGTGATCAGGTCAGTGGGGGGGGGGGGCAGTTGGGGGCTAGCAGGCTGGCAGTGGGGGGCAGTTGGGGGCAGTCAGGCCACCAGTTGGGGCCAGTTGGGAGCAAGCAGGCTGGCGGGGTTGGGGAGGGGGGAGCAGATGAGGGTGAGCTGGCCGGCAGGCAGATGTTAGGAGTGATTAGGAAGGCAGGCAGGTGAGTGGCTAGGAGCCAGCGGTCCCAGATTGCAAGAGGGATGTCTGACTGCTGGTTTAGGCCCAACCCTGGTGGGATCAGACCAAAACCAGCAGTTGAACATCCCCTGAGGGGCCCCAGATTGGAGAGGGTGCAGGCTGCTGGGCTGAGGGACATCCCCCCATGCACAAATTTCATGCATCAGGCCACTATTATATATATAATATGCTAAGTGTCTGACCTTTCGACCAGTTGCTATGACATGTACTGACCACCAGGGGGCAGATTCTCTGACTGGTAGGTTAACTTGCTGATTAGAACTGAGCAAGATGGGCCGGACATGCCTTGGAGCCCTCCTGTGGTCCCTCCTGAGCCAGATCATGCACCAGTGGGGTCCCTCAGCCTGGCCCAAGCCCTCTCGCAATCTGGGACCCCTTGGGGGATGTCAGAGAGCTGGTTTCAGCCTGATCCCTGCAGCTGCAGGCCAAGCCAAGGGACCCACTGGTGCACAAATCTGTGCACCAAGCCCTCTAAAAAAAAAAAAAAATATATATATATATATATATATATATATATATATATATATATATATATATATATATCTTATTTCAAAGAGGAAAGGAGATGTAGAAACATCAAGAATGAAAGAGAATCATTGATTGGCTGCCTCCTGTATGACCCCCTACTGGGGATGCAGCCTGCAACCCAGGCATGTGCCTGACCTCCTGGTTCATGGGTCAATGCTCAGCTACTGAACCACAGTGGTTGGGCCAAAATTATTTTTTTACTTAACTAAGTAGTAAATTTGCTAGTTGCCTTCAGACAAAAATCATAGGCATGTCTAAACTCCTGTCCATCTGTTTGTGTCTCGTTCACAGCACGGGTCTTTTAAGGAAATCTAACATTCTTTGTATTAATGGTAACCCATTGCGATCAGTATATTTCAGAGCTTTGGTTTCTAGTCTAAGCTCCTACACGTAAGCAGTCACATGTGCATTTGTAGAGGGAAATGCTCGTGTGCGTGCGGCAGTTGGCAAATGTAGGCTTACAGTTGTCTGTGTGAAAAGAACATGATAATTAATGACCAATAACACAAAAGGAGGCTGTGTGTTCACGCTCACTGGAAGCCTCTTTACGTGGAGAGACGGAGAGAGGAGAGAGAGCAGAGACAGAGGCAGGGGCGGGGCGGAGGGGCGGAGGGGCGGAAGGAGGCGGGAGGCAGGCGGAGTGGGCGCACCACCCTCATTCTGCGGGGTGCTGTGTGGGTGGGTGCTGTGTTCGGGGTTCATTGTGAAGCGCCTCTGTAGCCGCCCCCAGGTGGGCGCCCTGTCCTTCATTGCTTTAGACCCACGTTACCTTCCTCACGAGCCAGGTCCCCGCGCCTAACGGAACCAATCCCCTTCCAGCTCACGCCTGCCGGCAGCCCGAGACGCCGGCCCACGCGGACGTGCGCGCCATCGAGCTCCCTGCCTTCGGCTACACCCTGGTCTACACCTGCCACCCGGGCTTCTTCCTGGCCGGCGGCTCGGAGCACCGGACCTGCAAGGCCGACCTGAAGTGGACGGGGAAGTCGCCCGTCTGTAAAAGTACGTGGGCGAGGAGGCGGCGGCAGACAGGCCTCCCGGAGAGCGGGCGCCCCTGCCCTCAGGCCTGCGTCCGGTCCGCTGTGAGCTCACGGGCAGCCCCGCCCTCCGTGCTCCTGTGTGGCCCCGGGTGGACGTGCGGGCAGGAAGTGTGTGAGGCCGTGGGGGCGGAGGCTGAGGACAGATGCAAACCACACGTTCACCCGACGAGAAAGGCTGTTTGGTGGGAGAAAAGCATTGCGAGCTAAAAGAAAGAAATACATGTGTTTGGAAAATGCATTTTTAATGAAAGGGGACAAAGGTCACCAAGTACTCGGTGCATATTAAACCGGGGCCTGTGAGTGTGAGACCATGCACTGTTTGGTGGTGGGAGTTAAGTTTACGGGCTCTGGACACTGGTTCTACCTGTGGAATTGCAAAAGCTATTAACATGGAAACGATGCGTTAATTGCACACCAATTTGCATATTTTCAAATGAGGGCCATAATTCTGGGTCAGACTTGATGAGAGCTGACCTTCCGGGTTCCCCTCACCTTAGATTCTGTGCACGTTGAGGACCAAGCACCATCAATAAAGGTTAGGGGTGCACAAAGCCCCCGTTCCGGTTCCTCCCGGGAGCTTGTGATTCTGAAGCGAGGAGTCCTCAGGCACCTTCCCTCGCCTTTCTCCATCCGAAATAGAAGTGATGACTTGTAGTTTGATACAAAACTAGAAAAGCTAGGAGAGCTTGAGTGAATCTAACCTGACAGACCAAGGCAAACACCCTGCAAGAGACAGGGTTTGGTGGCATTTAATTCCCACGGGCAGGTCACGCGGGCGGGGAGGCATGGCGTCCAGGGAAGTCACGGCATCTCAGCTGTTCTGTTCCCCTTCGGGCTGGGAGCGGTGTGTCCCAAGAGGGAGTCAGAATGGACCAACCACCCTCCTTTGCAAGGCTCTCTCTTATAGCACAAGAAACGCAAACACACGTGTCAGAAACACACGTGTTAGGCCCGCCTGGTTTCCCGCAGGACTTGCTGCTGGGAGCACAGGCGTTGCCATGGATATGGAAGAGATGAGCCGACCGTGTACACGCAAGAAATCTGGAGCAAGAAAACTATTTCAATTTGACATTTTTCAAACTTATTCCCCAACCACCGCCTCGGAAATGACCGTCTGTCTCTTTGTTGTAGGTAAAGGAGTGGGAGAAGTTAATGACACAGTTACTAAAGCGCCAGGTTTGTATCCCAGACCAGTCGCAGGTCCCGTCACACGGCAAGCTCTCCCCACACTCCACCCAGCGGGGCGCGGGTGACGGTTCCCGAAGCCACGACCCCACCCCCAAGTTCATGGTTCGGTTCTTGCCAATGCCAGGGCCACACCAGTTCCTCTCGCTGTCACAGCCGTGGTCGGGGTAACCGGACTCACCGTTTCCTGCAAAGGTGCCCCGGGCATTCCGTGGGCAGACAGGGACACGCCTTTGGCGCTCGCTGTGGTATAATGGAGAGCCTTCTAAAGAGGGTGGCCCGCCTGCCCCCCACGGGCGGGGAGGGAGTGAGGCCGGGGCCCGCAGGCTCAGGGAGGGGGGCGCCGTTCACAAGTGCAGCTCCGTGTTCTCCGCACGCCTCCAGAATCCAGGCGTCCTCAGCCTCCTATGCTCTGAGCCAGCACATTGTGTGGTGTGCGGGGCCCGCCTAAGGCACACACGGCCCATCAGAGACGCCCGTGCAGGTGCCCTGGGCAGGGGTCCCTCCCTTCCCCTCAGCCCCTCTCCTCCCCTCTGTACCTGGGGAAGATTTAAACAGGCGGTATGCCCCGTGTCGTGTAAGTCAAGCTTTTACACAGAACAGATCCTCTTGGAGATGATCTAGCCCCGTGGTCGGCAAACTGCGGCTCCAGAGCCACATGCAGCTCTTTGGCCTCTTGAGTGTGGCTCTTCCACAAAACACCACGGCCTGGGCCAGTCTGTGCTGAAGAAGTGGCGTTAGAAGAAGTTTAAGTTAAAAAAATGTGGCTCTCCGAAGACATGTCCATCGTTGTGCTGTTGACATTTGGCTCTGTTGGCTGAGGCGTGTGCCGGCCACGGGGCTAGGGTCATAGGGCGCTTCCCGGCGTTTCCCTTCCGCGGCGTGGGCCCTGACCTTAGACCTGGTTCCCCCACGGGCCCCGGGGCCAGTGCGTGAGGCCAGGGTTAGCAGGGCTGTCACACACGGCCTCCTCGGACGAGACAGAGGTCCCACCAGGATTAGGGAGTGCCCCCGTGTACACACAGGTGTAAAGAGGGCTTTAAGAAAACCCTGGCCGTTCTATCCCAACGTTATTTCCAAATCCAGCGCCGGTCCGCGCTCTCCGGCAGCGACCCTGCTCGGAGGACGGGCTGTGGTTGTCATGCTGTTCCGGCTTGTTTCTGGTTGGAGAGGCTGAACTGTCAGCTTCCTTTTTATGGGGGGAGAGGGGGTGCATGCCTGCTCATGGCCGCCCGCACCTCGCTCCCCTGGGCGGGGGAGTGCGCAGGCATGGGGGTCTCCATGGAGGCGACGCCGTCTCCACGCCTCCGTGTTGCTGCGTTAGTCACGGCCTCAGCGTCAGGTGACAGGACCCGCAACGCCCACCTCCCCGCGCGGCCGGCGGTCACACCTGGAGACAGACAGGCGCGCTCAGCCCCGCCCCCCGTGCCCTGCTCCTGGCTCCGTCTCCACCTCCAGGGCCAGTTCCTCAAAGGGCTGCCATCCACAGCCACCCCGAGGTGTGTCTCATCAGGGCGAGAAAGCATTCTGGTATCACCTTGTCAATTCTTAGATGTTTTTCTGGATGTCAGAGAGGAGAGGGAGAGAGAGAAACATCCACGATGAGAGAGAACCATGGATCGGCTGCCTCCTGCACGCCCCACTCTGGGGATCAAACCCACAACCCGGGCAAGTGCCCTGACCAGGAATCGAACCCTGACCTCCTGGTTCCTCGGTCGACCATGACCTTCCTGGTGGGAAATGCGGAACTGTCTGCATCAAACTGCGACCTTCCTGGTTCCTCAGCCACGGAGCCTCACAGGCTGGGCTTGCTGTCATGTCACAGGCTGTTGATGTGAACACAGGAGACGCAGGCGTGTGGGCGCGCTGGGTCACGGACTGTGGCTGCCGAGGGGGAGGCAGCGATCGGTCCCTGCTCAGTGCCGCCTCCGCCTGCACCTGTTTCACTCCTCAGGAGGTCGTGGCGGGGTCGGTCTGCTCGGGCCGGGGCCGTGGCACCCTCGTCCTGCTCGGGCCCCTGTGCTGCGGGCCGGGTCTGAGGGCGGCCTGTCTGGGGAGGCGGGGAACGGCGAGGGGACAGCGAGCGAGGCGGCCCAGGGCTCTGTCTCTGTGTCCTCGGTGTGCGTAGCCCTGAGCCAGGGATGGGTACACCTGGGCCCCGGGCCGGGTAGGCCCGCAGAATCACGTGGCCTGGCCCTGCCCAGCAGCAGGGCGAGGTAATTACACGTTTGGCCACACAGAGCAACTCCCGTGGAGGGGAGGGTTTGTGGGGCCCCCGAAGGAGCTGTGAGTGTCCGAGTGGCCCTGGCAGAGCGAAGGCCCGCCCTGCGCTGCGTGGACGGTGCGTTCTGAGGGTCCACTCACCGAGGGCCTGGGTAATGACTCGGCGTGGGCCCCTCCGGGCAGGAAGCCAGGACGGGGCGGGATCCAGCCCAGCTTGTGGCAGCTGCCCCAGGGATGGCGGGGGCGGGGGTGGGGTGGGGAGGGTGGCGTCTGACCTGTGAGAGCCGCGGTGTTTCGTACACGTTTGCTGGCAGGAATGTGGAAAAGTGGTTTAATTTTCATAACAGTGGGAAAAAGAATGTTTCAATAATCATTGCCAGTTCTCCTGACCGAGGTGAAATTTAAAGTTTTAAAAGACGTTTGCCTTTTTTTCTGAATTATGTGTGTGTGTGTGTGTGTGTGTGTATACACATATAGATACATGCCGTATAAATAGATATATGTAGATAAATAGATGTATAGGTGTATAGATTTATAGATATATAGGTAAATAGATATATAGATTTATAGATATATAGGTGAATATATAGATTTATAGATATATACATTTATAGATAGATAGATTTACATGTATATAGATAAATAGTATATAGATTTATAGATAAGTAGATATATAAATATATAGGTAAATAGATCTATATATTTATAGATAGATACATTTATAGATAGATATATTTACATATATATAGATAAATAGTATATAGATTTATAGATAAGTAGATATATAAATATATAGGTAAATAGATCTATAGGTTTGTAGATAGATAGATTGATTTACAGATATATAGATAAGTAGATATATGGGTTTATAAATAACTATATAGGTAAATAGATATATAGATTATAGATAGCTATGTTTATAGATATATAGTTATGTAGATTTATAAATAGATTTATAGATTTATGGGTAGATATATAGATACAGATATGTGACACTATTGGGTCTAACTTCTTACCAGTGGTGGATGTCCTCACACAGAGAAAAGAGGAGGGGAGGGGAGGGAGGGGCGGTGGCTCCGTGTGCAGATAAAGACCTCAGGAAGCAGTGCCGGGGCCTCCCTAGGGGTCTGGGCCGGAGCTGGGCTGTGAGAGCCCCGGGCTGGGAGGCAGGACACCCGACCCCGGTCACCATCAGCCCTCGGAGCCCCTGCCCTTCAGCGTGGAGCTGGACGCTCTAAAATGTCAGGCGTGGTTCCTGGGGCAGCTTAACACTCTTCCTATTAAGCCCGATGAGCTCTAACCACCGAGCCTCCTCAACACACCCTCCACCTCCCCCAAAATGGCGGCCCGGGCTGGCTGCTCCCAGCGTGCACTTGGGTCTTACCCTGGGCACAAAGACCCTGCCCTCGGGCGGGCCCTGGGGTCGCCGCCTCGCCCTCGTGCGTGGCAGTGCACACGCCGCCCGCTCGGCTGTCCCCCGTTCGCGGCTCCACGCGGCTCACCCGTGTCTCGCCCGCAGTCCCCTCGGACGTGTTCTCCGTGGGCTCCGTGTGGCGGGGGCACTACGAGCACCTGGGGCAGAGGCAGCCGGCCCTGCTGACGGTGGACAGCTTCAACGCCTCCCGCAGCCGTGTCAACGCCACCTTCGCCGCCGCCTCGCAGGTGGAGCTGCGGCTGACAGGTAGGCCCCGGCGCCTCGCTCAGCTCGGGGGCCCTGCGGGGAACGGAGAGGCCACACACCCGACGGCCGGCGTGGCCGTGGCTGAGCACAACCCATGACCCAGGAGGCGAGGGCTCCACTCCGGTGGGGGCCAGGCCCAGGCTGCGAGCTCCATGCCAGTGTGGGGCCTGCTTCTCTCATCACGGATGTTTCCCTCTGTCCCTTCCTTCCTCTCTGAGGTCAATGACAGCTCCTTTTAAAATAACCGTCACAATTTCCTTTCTCTGGCGTGTCACCGCCGAACCCCCCCTCCCCGCCCCGGGCGCCGGCCCGCGCCCTGAGACACGGCCTGTGCTCTCCCCAGGCGTCTACAAGAAGGAGGAGGCCCACCTCCTCCTCAGGGCCTTCCAGGCGAAGGGGCCTGCGGACCTGTTTGTCAGCAAGTCTGACGGCGACCCCTGGGGCCTGGACGGCTATGTGAGTTCCCTGGGACGGGGGTGGGGGTGCCGGGTCTCTGTGATGGCGGCGGGGGGATGGCGGGGGGCGGGGGGCGGGTTCTAAGTGTCGCTGACTGCAGAGGCGTGGTGGCCGGGGGCACGTCTGGGGCCGTGAGGGGGGGTCAGTGCTGAAAACCGGCCCCGCTCGCTTTGGGCTCAGAAGTAATGGGGTTGAAGGCGCTTGACCAGAACCTCCGGGCGGCCGCAGCCCTCACTTCCCGCCGGAGGGCACTGCGTCCCCATGGAGATGCACGGCCCCGCCCGCCCCGTGTGGCCGCCAAGCTCTCCGAGGCCTTCGGTGGCCGTGCGGAACGTTCTAGCAACCTGCTCCAGACCAGCAGGGCCGCCGCCGCCTCTCTGCACGTGAGCCGTGGTGCTCCGCCCGCCGTCGGCTCGGGCACAGGCGCACCCGCCCCGCAGCCCCGGGCCGTGCGTGGCAGGAGGCGGCGTCCCGTCCGTGGGCTCGGCAGGCCCAGGGCCTGTGCCCTCGGGAAGGTGTGGGACGAGGAGGAGGGCGGAGACCACAGCGAGCTGAGCGGTGTGGGCTGGAGTCACAGCGGGGCCCGAAGGGGAGCGGAAAGTTCCACCTGAGGAGTCAGCGAAGGCGTCCGGCCAGTGACCCCGGAGCCGGAGAACGGGGAGGAGGGGTCTCAGTCCCCTGCCTGTCCTTCCCGCCCGCCCCCAGGTCTCCTCGGGGCTGGAAAGGGGAGAGTTCACCTTCCAAGGAGACGTGCGGGGGGAAGACTTCGGCAAGTTCAAGCTCCAGAGGCAAGGTGAGCGCCGGCCTCCGGGTGGGGAGGCGGGGACACGTTGGCCTGCATGGGGTTTCGCTGAGAAACGATGGAACGGCCAGGCCTCCCGAGGGACAGAGCAGGAGGGGCCACAGCAGGTGTGAGACGAGGGAGGAAAGCAAACACACAGCCCAGGGGTCCTCCTCCTTCCTGAGGCCGGGACCTCTGACACAGCCCGCTCCTCCTGTGGGTGAGACCCCCAACCACACAGCTGCTGGCCTGGCTGCTTCATAACTGCGCTCTGCTCCTGTTGGGGATGGTGGTGTGAGCGTCTGTGTTTGCCGTGGTCTCCGGCGACCCTCCGTCACAGTCACGACCCACGGGCTGAGAACTGCTAGCATGAGGACGTGTCCCCAGAACGCATCCCGCGTGTGTGAGCGTGAGCGTGTCCCTCTCTCCTCAGATGCTCTGAGCTCCGACCAGGACGCCGCGCACCGCCCCCCGGGCACCAGCAGCGGCTCCGTGGCGGCCGCCATCCTGGTCCCGTTCTTCGCACTCATCCTGTCAGGGTTTGCGTTTTACCTCTACAAACACAGGTGAGCCAGGGCACCGTGTGCCGGTGTGAGCTGCCCGTCCTCGCTCACACGCACGTGCGTGTGCTGTCGCGAGCCGTGTGCTCCGGCATCGGGGACGCTCACTGTCTGTTCTGGAAGCCAGGCCCGCTCACCTCTCCCTCTGCTCCCTCAGGACGAGACCGAAAGCTCAGTACAACGGCTACGCCGGCCACGAGAGCAGCAACGGGCAGGCCTCCTTCGAGAACCCCATGTACGACACGCACCTGAAGCCCACGGAGGCCAAGGCCGTGCGCTTCGACACGACACTGAACACGGTGTGCACCGTGGTATAGCCCCGCGCGGGCCTGGACCATAGCCATACCTCGGACGGGCAAGCCTGACGGTGCCGTGGCCTCCCCCGGCTTGGCCGCAGCCACCCTCCACCTCCCCTCCCGATCCAGCAGCGGGCTGTCCACGGAGCGTGCAGGAGTCCACGGAGCGTGCAGGAGTCCACGGAGCACACAGCTGTCCACAGAGCGTGCAGGAGTCCACAGAGCGTGCAGGAGTCCACGGAGCGTGCAGGAGTCCACAGAGAGTGCAGGAGTCCACAGAGCGTGCAGGAGTCCACAGAGCGTGCAGGAGTCCACAGAGCGTGCAGGAGTCCACAGAGCGTGCAGGAGTCCACAGAGCGTGCAGGAGTCCACGGAGCGTGCAGGTGTCCACGGAGCGTGCAGGAGTCCACGGAGCGTGCAGGAGTCCACAGAGCGTGCAGGAGTCCACAGAGAGTGCAGGTGTCCACGGAGCGTGCAGGTGTCCACGGAGCGTGCAGGAGTCCACGGAGCACACGGCTGTCCATGGAGCGTGTGGGTGTCATGCAGCTGTCCACAGAGCGTGCAGGTGTCCACAGAGCACGCAGGTGTCCACGGAGCACACAGCTGTCCACGGAGCATGCAGGAGTCCACAGAGCATGCAGCAGTCCATGGAGCGTGCAGCTGTCCACAGAGCATGCAGGTGTCCATGGAGCACATGGCTGTCCACAGAGCGTGCAGGTGTCCACGGAGCATGCAGGTGTCCATGGAGCACATGGCTGTCCACAGAGCGTGCAGCTGTCCACGGAGCACACAGCTGTCCACGGAGCATGCAGGAGTCCACAGAGCATGCAGCAGTCCATGGAGCACACGGCTGTCCCTGGAGCGTGCAGGTGTCCATGGAGCACATGGCTGTCCACAGAGCGTGCAGGTGTCCACAGAGCGTGCAGGTGTCCACGGAGCATGCAGCTGTCCACAGAGTGTTCAAGGGTCCACGGAGCGTGCAGCTGTTCACGGAGCACATGGGATGTCCATGGAGCGTGCAGGTGTCCACGGAGCACACAGCTGTCCACCGAATGTGCAGCTGTCCACAGAGCGTGCAGGTGTCCACGGAGCGTACAGAGTGTGCGGGCTGTCCCTGGAGCGTGCGGGTTTCTACAGAGCATGTTGGTATCCACGAAGCGTGCAGGTGTCTACAGATCATGTGAGTGTCCACAGAGCGTGGAGAGTCTTCTGAGCACCGGCCACCTGTCCCTTCATCCTGACAGAGGAGTCCCTTGTCCGGCTTTGCCTGCCTGGGGTCACGCCGCCCCCTGCATTCACTGCCTCTGACGCCCATGTCCGTGAGGCGGGAGCTGTCCACCCGCCTGGGCCCCAGACACAGCCTCCGGGCAGCGGCACCACACGTGGGGACTCGGCAAAACAGCTCTGACGGAAACACTTCCCGGCGCTGCACCTGCCTGCACACGCCCTGCCGTCCTTCCGGCCTCGACGCCGCCGGGCCCAGCAGCTCCGTGTCCCCGGGGCCGTCCTCAGACCTCCTGTCGGCCGTCCTGTTGCAGAATGTTTGATGCACAATTTTTGCACTAGTGTGTGATGGATGACTGAGGTTCTGATAAAAACACTATTCACAGGGTCTGTACACCCCTTGTGCATACGCACCCTCATCTCGGAGCTGACATCGCCCTCGGGTGAGTGGGTGTGAGCACGAAGGGGAGCCTCAGCCGGGCACAGGCGCCGGGACGAGGGGGAGGGAGGCGGTGCTGCTGCTCCAGCTGCAGCCGTGGGGTCTGAGCACACGAGGCGTCTGTTCCCCACGCTTTCCCCCGCCATGGCCGCCCAGGCGTGTCCACAGCGGGCGGCACGCTGTCCGCCGAGCGTGCGAGCAGTCCTGTATCTCGGCGGCTCGCAGGGCGTGGCTGGGGCTCCGGGACCGGCTCCCCCACCCTGCGCTCCTCTGGCTGTGCCCCGCCATGGCGCGGTGAGGACAGGACGCCCGGAGCTGGCCCAGCCTGTGCAGGCAGAGGCCCAGAGCGCACACACCCCCATGGTGCCGTCCCCGTCAGCTTGTCTTCCGCTCACGCTGCCCGGGGAGGCGTCAGGGCTGCGGGCTGTGAGCTCAGTCGTGGTAACGGACAGGCACTGGCACGAAGGAAGGAAGGAGGGGACCCCGGGTGGGCACTGCCTGGCGGTGCAGTCCTGAGCGCCGACGCCACCAGCCTCCAGGAAAGCCTTGTCCTCTCCGCGTACGCCAGGGGCACAGGCTCTGCAGAGGGAGTCTTGCTCGTCATTGCGCTCTGACGGCCCTTCCACACGTGGCCGGCTTCCCTCTGCCGGCATCGGAGCGGGCAGCACAGCCACCTCCTTCCGTCCGGCCCGTCGGTGTGTCCGCTGCCCAACGGGAAGGCAGACACAGTCCCCGGCGGGCTCCCAGGCGCCTCCCGAGCTGAGCGCGTGCCCATCTGTCCCCCGGGGCGCCCGCCAGCTCCGTGGCCCCGCAGCCCCCGCTGTCCTGCTGAGTCTCCCTGTCTCTGCCACCGACGGCAGGTGGAGCTCGGCCCCGCACCCCGGAGCTCACACCCTCCCCCCCTCAGGCCCGAGGTCAGCCAGGCCGGGTCCCGGCACGCGGGGTGTGCGGGCACAGGGTCCCTCCTCAGCTTAGGTGTACATATCACACGCGCACACACGTGTACATTCCTGCGTGAGTCATTCAAGCCAGGAGCAGGTCCCCGTCCTCAGAGCCCCAACGTGCGTCTGTCCCCCCGTTTCTGCCCTCAGGACACAGGCCAGGTACCCCAACCCCAGCGTCAGACGAGGCGTCACCCCGTGCATCCAACGCCCCGGGACGGGGTCTGGAGCCTGCTCCGCAGACGGGCCACTCCCGGAGCGCGGCTCTCCTCAGAACGTGCTAGAAGGCGCCACGCTCACACCGGTCACGTGCTTCAGGCTGCTGCTTGGCCCACCCCTGCCTTTCCTCAGGCGAGCTGCAATAACTCCTCTCCTGCAAACGTCCGTGGCCGCCCGTCCGCCATCTCACATGCTGCTGACATGCGTTAGGTGCAAAAGACCTTTTTGTACAGAGATCTATTTTTTATGGAGAATTTGTAAAATTATTAAATATGCTGTAATTTTTTGATTACTGTAGGTAAATTGTTAAAAAAAATAAATAAATAAAAATAAATGTTTTTACAACACAAAGCTGTAATTTTCCCAATAATGTACATTGTTCTATCTCTAGCAGAGTTTTCGGTTCCAGCCCATGAGTCACTATCACCGTGGCCTGTTAAAACCAACAGTATCTTCTTTTTTGTCACAAAAAGAATTATAAAGAGAGTGTAATATAGCCTGTGCAATGCCACCTATCTTTAAAGCAAATCAGATTCTAATTAAATATTTAATTTTACATCTCTGTCTCCGGTGTGACTTCATCCCAGCTTTCCCCGTGTGGGGGGAGGGGGAGGGGAGCAGGATGTCCCCTGGGTGGGGGTGGGGGTGGGGGTGGGGGTGGGGAGGAGGACTCTCCCCTGGGGGGGGATGGGGGGGAGGGGAGGAGGACTCTCCCCTGGGTGGGGGTGGGGGGAGGAGTGGGGGGTGGGGATGGGGGAGGGGAGGAGGACTCTCCCCTGGGTGGGGGGTGGGGGTGGGGGGTGGGGATGGGGGAGGGGAGGAGGACTCTCCCCTGGGTGGGGGGTGGGGATGGGGGAGGGGAGGAGGACTCTCCCCTGGGTGGGGGGTGGGGGTGGAGGTGGGGATGGGGGAGGGGAGGAGGACTCTCCCCTGGGGGGTGGGAGTGGGGAGGGGAGCAGCGGGGCGGCTGGCTGCTCGGGGCCAGGAGCAGGTGGTCAGGATGACCAGCGGCGGGAGGAGGGTGCACCGGGCCCTCGAAGGCGGCAGCCCTGGGAGGTTGTGCCTTCGGGTCAGTGGGAGGATCAGGTCCCCCGCAGAGCCCTGAGGAGGCTCCCGCGACGGCGCCCCGCAGCCCACCAGCTCAGGCCGGGGCCGGGCCAGGCTCTGCCTCGGGGCGCCCTCGGCAGTGGACGCCTGCTCCGTTCTCCGGTCCGGCGGCCCCGCGGGAGCAGCCGGGGGAGAGGCCCCGGGGCTCTGCCGCCCGCCGGGAGGCCCTGCTGTGCGCGGCCTCTGCAGGGTGCTGCCCCGCGGAGGCCGCACAGCAGGGTCCCGCGTCCGGCAGGTGCGGAGCAGGAGCCCAGGCGTTCCTCAGCGGACACGAGCACACCCAGGCCGCCCTGAGAGAAACCGCTCCTGCTCTTTTCACAAACGCACAGTGAGCGCTGACTCCCCGTTCCTCCCCGTCCCCGTCCCCGCCCTGGACGTGTCTGTCTCCCAGCCGCAGTGTTCGCTGAGCCCGCCGTCAGCCGCCCGCCACGCCCGGGGAGGACAGACGGCCACAGCCCCAGCGTCCACAGAAGCTGCCGCCTCGCCCACCACCCTCGGGGCTCCGTCCCCCTCACTGGCTGGCCTCTGGCCCACAGCCCACGGCGGCCACGGACACGGAGGGGAAGACAGCCCACAGGATCGCCGGCCCAGGGGACGGGCAGGAAGGCCCAGTGCCAGGCTGCGTGTGAGGAGAGCAAAGACGGGCGATGGCCCCCGGGAACACTGTCCCCTTTGAGGGGGAAGGAATGGCCAGTTCTCCTCAGAATGGGAGCCAGACCTGAGCCCAGCCACGGGGAGGGCTCTGCCCCTCAGCTGCTCTGCGTCCCCGTGGGTCTCCCTGCAGCCTCACTCCCTCTCACCTCTCCCCCTTCTTCTACTTTAATATATTTTTTAAATTAATTTCAGAGAAGAAGGGAGAGGGAGAGAGAAACATCGTGCTGAGAGAGAATCGCGGATCAGCTGCTTCCTGCTCGCCTCGCGCTGAGGATGGAGCCCACAACCCGAGCCTGCGCCCTGACCCGGAATCCAACCCTGACCTCCTGGTTCCTAGGTCGATGCTCAGCCACGGAGCCACGCCAGCCAGGCCCAATTTTTGTTGTTGTTGTTAATATTTTTGGCTTCAGGACAAACAAGACAGAGAAAAAATACTT